TTTAGTTCTATTAATCTGTTATTTTAATATTTCCATGCTCCTTCCTCAAGTTTCTATTTTTTCCTCAGCGCATAATGAAATTAAAATCATTAAATAACTCTACAAAGCTTCATTTTTAATTTAAATTAATTAGTCATATCAGTAGTAGATATGATTTTTATTGTTTTATTTGTTTATTATTAAATAAAACTATTTAATGGTACCGTTGTTTTTCATTGTTTTTTTACAGTTATTCAGAAATTGAAAAAATTGTTATTGTTATTATTGCTACTGTTTCTTTTTGTTGCACTGTTATACTTGTTGTTGTTCTTCTTCTTATTGTTTATTGTTATTCAGAAACAAAATTTGTTGTTATTGTTGTTGCTATTTCTTTTTTTTTATGTATTATTGTTCTTGTTACTGTTGTTCTTATTGTTACTGTTATTGAGCAATTGAAAAAGTTGTTACTGTCGTTTTTGTTTTCTTATTTTTATTGTTTTCTTACTTTTCTTGCTACCGCTCTTGTTATTGTTTGTTGTTTTTTCTTTCTATTGTTCTTGTTATTGTTTTTGTCGTTATTGTTCTTGTCGCTTTTTCTTGTTATTGCTGTTGTCATTATTGTTCCCATTTTTACTGCCATTGTTGTTGTTGTCATCGTTGTTACTGTTATTGTTATTGTTGTTTTTGTTTATACTATTGTAGCAAATAATTTCAATTTATATTCATTAAAAAAAAAAAAAAAAAATTGAAATTATTTCTATCTTTTGTCTATTTAATTCATTCAATCATTCCAACTAAACTATTCCATTTTTGGATAAAAAAAAAAAAAGAAAGAAAGAAAAAGAATGGATTATTTATTTAAAAATGAATGGTTGTTTGTTCATTTCTGTGTTATGGGAACAAAATCGTCCAAATTATTTAAATACAAATTTTTTTTTTTTCGTCATCTTCAATTTTGTCCCGTTTATTTGGTTTTGTTTAAATTTTCTTTTTCTTCTTTTTTTTTTTTTTCTCTTCCTTCTTCTTGAATTAGAAATTTTGCTTAAATTATTCCATTATGAGCTTAAAAAAATTTTTTTTTTCTTTTAGTAATTTGATAATTTAAAAAAAAAAAATTTTAAATAAATAAGAAATATATAAATCAAATCAAAAGTGATGATAGATATTTTATTAAAATTTCTTTTTTAATTTGAATCATTTTAGTTAAATTTTTCTCTTTTTTTTTATCTGAATCTTTCTGTCTCTACCTCTCCCTCTCTCTCTCTCTCTCTCTCTTCTTAATTATAACAATTAATTTTCTTTTTTCTTTTTACAGATTATAAAAGTTATTTTTATGTGAAAATAATTTGAAATATAATAAAAATAAGCTTAATAGTCTAAAATGACTAAATCTGATGTAACTAATAAAACTAAAAAAAGATTAAACCATAAGTGAATTAATTTATAAATGCAATAAGATATTTAAATTTTGTACCGTTTCATCAGTTTATGGTATAAGAATGATTTCAAATTCAATTTTGTTATAATTGTACATTTCAATAGTTTAATTAAAATACTTAAAATGAATGGAAGAGAAATGAGATGAAAAAGAGAATTAATTATTAGATGGAGAAGAAAGACGATAATGTATAAAACAGAAGGTAAAAGCAAATGTGTAAATCTTTATTTAAAATGACAAAAGTAAAGTAATAAAATGAAAAGAAAAGGAGAGAGAGGGACAGGGAAAGGGAAAGGGAGAGGGAGAGGGAGAGAGAGAGAGAGGGAGAAAGAGGAGGAAAACGAGGATGAATGATAAATTCTGACGAAGATAGTATTAAGTTGATTTTAGAGGACATACAATTCAATTATCTTTAAACATATATTCCTTCTTTCTTCATTTATTCTAAAAAATTTTTCCCTACACAAATTTTTCCCTACCCAAATTCTCTAACTTTTTTCTCTGCTATCTTATCAATCATTATCATTTCTTATCAATGAATATAATAAAAATGATATGAGCAAATGTGATAATGATCAAAAAAAAAAATATTTTAATTAGATATTTAAATTAAATATTTCAATAATTTTAAATTAAAAAAATATTTAAGAATACTTCTAGGGTACTGGTTTCTTTTCTTTTTTATTACTCTTTAAAAATATCTTATCCGTAATCTTTTCATTGACATATCTCTTATAACTCTTATCATTTCATCGAAATTATTTTTCATACAAGTTTAATTTAATAAATCTAATTAATACATTAATAATTTAAAAAAAAAAAAAAAAAAAAGCAGAAGAAAATGAGCACAATAATTTCTTTTCATTTTCTTTGTTTATTGCATTTATTAAAATATCGAACTGATTACAAATTCTCATTTATCATCCAATTTATAATTAAATTTAAACAATGAAATTTTATTTCATTAAAATTTAATCCTGCTTTTTTTTTCCTTTTATTCAAAGAATGGAAAAAAGAAATGAAAATTTTTAATTAATAAGTTAAAACTTTTGCTACTACTTTTTAATGGTCATTCATTTCTGGATAATATTTTATGATAGTTTATTACCTAATAAATGATGAATTCACAAAATTTAACCTTAAAATTGCTACGATGCACATTTTATTATTATTATTATCATCATTTAATTTAATGATAAAGTTATTAAAAATTTTCATCTATATGAACATTATTATCATCAGTTATCAGTTTTAATAATTTCATATGCAAAATGTTGAAAACAAGTATAATTAATTTCATTACTATCCTCTATCATACTTCATTCTCTCACTTTTTTAATTTATTCATTTCACTCTTAAATCATTTTCATAATTATCATCGTAATTATTATCTTAAATTATCATCATAATTATCATCATCAATCTTACTACCACACATAATCTTCCCTTTTTCTTTTCTTTGTCCCAGTAAAATTTGTCATTATAACAGCCATCTGTTATAAATTTTTCAACATTTGCATTATTATTTAGTTCTTTGATTTTGCTAAATTAACAAATTTTGAATTTAAAAAAAAAAAAAAACGAAAACCTTTTCAATCTTTTTTTTTCTAATCTTTCCATCAGCCTTCCATTTTTTCATTCTCTTTCTTATTTCCCTCATTTCATTTTTTTTTTTTTTTTTTTAAATAATTTTTCATCATAGTTCTCTCTCTCTCTCTCTCTCTCCTCTGTTCCCTTATTTTCATTTTATTTAACTCCATTCATGGAATATTTTTCCTGCTAATATAATAAATCTTAAATTTGCATTCCTACTACTCTTCCTTTCCCTATTAATTGTCGTTATAAAAATTCTTGCAATTTCCAAAAAAAAAATTTTTTTTTTTTTGTTATTTCTTTATACTTTTATTTTAAAAATTACCGTTTAAATTTAATTTAAAAAAAAAAACATAAAATTAAATTTAATTTCTGTATATTTATTTGTGTGTGTGTTTTTGTTTGCGTTTATATAATAAAACCTAATTTCTTCTTTTTTTTTCTTCCATTGACATACTTTTTTTTTTCTATACGATTAATGATGACACCATATTCTAAAAAAAAAGAAAAAAAGAAAATTTTTTGATTTGTACAATAATTAAATAATTATTCTTTAATTGAATTTTTACCAAAATAGATGGATCATTTCTTCAATTGGTATTAAATTTTCAGCAATTCATTTTTATTTTTTGTAAATTTTTTTTTTTTTATGTTTTTGATTTTTCTTTATTTTTCTCTTCTAAATGATCTCAAAATTCTTTTGCGCAACAATTTCTTAAATTAAACTAACAATTACTCTTTTCTTTCATTTCTTTTGTTTTCTTTTTTTCTTTTTATTCCTTCTATATTAAATTTGTTTGTGTCACAAAAAAAAAAAAAAAAAAAAAAAAATGAAAAAATGAAAAAATTAAATCAATGATTTATTTTATTTTTATTCATATTTGATTAATGAATTTTCAGTTTTCAGTATTTTGGATTATATTAGATTAACTAATTTTCAATTAATATAATTCCTTAATTTTTCCTAAAAATTGTTATTTAATATTTCTTATGTAAAATTTACTGTAATTGTTTTACGTTTGAATAATTTTTGCATTTCAATACTGATTTTGTTTTCCAGTTGATTGATAGTTGGCGCAAATAAATTGAAATGTGGAAAGTCACACATCGATGAGAAATACATTTTCAATAGTTTTTATTAATTTTGAATAGAAAAAAAAGAAAGAAAAGAAGAAAAAATAAACGAAAAATGCATAAAATGACAAATAAAAAGTGGAAAAATTGATTTGAAAATTTGACAAACTTAAAATAATAAAGTAATTTTGATATATATGAGTGGAAATAAGAGAAGTTTGTTGACCTTCAAATGACCATAGTGGACCATAAAAAAGAAACTGTACGTTACTTGCCTTTGTTTGACATACATACTTCAAGGACATTTGACCTTTCACCCGATCATCCAAGTATTAGAAGACGAAGAATTACCTTTTTTGTTTAATGAATACCTGTTGCTACTGAAGTGGTGATCCATTTTAATAGTAATTACAGAACTAAACAATTTTTTTTTTTTTCGTTTTTAAAAAGATGGATGAAATAAATAAGTGTCATTGTAGCACATCTAACATTTCATATATTTACTTTTATAATATATTTTTAATAAAAGATTAAAATATAATATTGATTAATTCTATTGTCACAGTTAAATAAATTTTCTTTTCTTTTTTTCCATTTGACAAAATGTAATTTGATAAATAGTATTTGTAATAATTGAATATAATAATACACAATGAATCATACTAAAGTTTCATAATATCCGATTTTAATTTAAAATAATTTTTTCTTTTCTTTTTTGTAACAATTATAAAATACATTAGACAAGGAGAAAAAAAAAATTTATTTATTTTGCTTTTATTACTCTTTTTTTTTTTCTAGTTATTATCATTTCTAAGACATTTTTGAATTTCAAATATGAACGTTAAAATTTGTTTCTTATTTTTTCCTTCAATTTTTATTTAAATTATTGAATTTTTGATTAATTCTAGGCAGGAGTATGATATGGATATTATTGCTACTACCATTAGCTGCATCACATATCAGACTAACATATCCGCCAACTCGTTATCCATTCCTGAATTATTTCAACGATAGCAAAAAAATTCAGCAACCATGTGGTACTGGTGGTGGTGCTGGTAGTATATCTAAAGATTCAACAGGTTAATTAATTTAATTAATTATGTTTTCATTCTTTGTCATATTTAAAATAAATTAATAAGTTTTTAGATAATTCATTTAATTTATTATTTACCATTCTTTATTTTTTTTTTTTTTTTTGTCATTTAACAATTTCAAATGTCATAAAATTTTGTTGGAAATTTTCAAATTTTTTGAATTATCTTTTTTTTTTTTTTTTTTTTTTATTTTTTGCAGCAAAATATCCTTGAAAAATTAAAATTAGGAAAAAAAAAATAGAATAAAAAATGATTCGAAAGAATTTTTCCTATGAAATAATGTTTTCTACATTAACTACTACTAGTACTACTTGTACATAATTTTCTTTACTTCATATACAACAAAATTTTGAAGTTGAATTTAAAAAGTAAATAAAAAAATTAAAAAGAAATCTTCTAAAAGAAGTTTCTTTTTTTTTTCTTTTGTTAAATTTCTGTAATTTTTTTTCCTTTAATTCTTTAATTGTTGTTTACTTGATCTTCTTTATTATTATTATTATTATACGCAAATATCTCTTTCGTTAAATTTTTTTTATTCCTTTTCTTTATTATCTTATATATTGAAGCATTTTGATTTGTGGAAAACTAGTAGTAATTAAAAATTTAACCGTTGTATACTGGTTAGAATGAAATTAAAGTAAAATCTATTAACAATAAGAAAGTGGTTGTAATTTCAAAAATTTGAGTTAATTGTAATTATTGAGTGAAAAATATTCTGGTATCATATTTTAGATGAGAGGAAAAGGAAAACAACGGATTGAAAATTTTTTAAAAAATTAAAATTTTTTGGTATTTTGAATTTTCATAAAACAGGTTTTTCAATGTAATCTAATAAACTAGTTTTTTCATAATGATGACCTCTTTATTTTTATTTTTATTTTTTTTTTTGATTTTTTTTCTTTGCAATTACAAAATATTCGTAACAAAGAGAGTTATATCTTCATATATGCATTTTGCATTTTTTTTTCTTTTTAAATTGAATTTGAAATTAAATAATCTCAAATATTATAATATTTTATTTCAATGAAAATAGAATTACTCCACTGAACCTATGCTCTAATTTTATATGAAATTATTATTATTTCTTTTCAAATTATAAATAGTGAAAAATTTACGCATAAAAAGAGAAATCAAAATTATTTATAAATAATTTATTCACCTCAAAATTATAAATAATTTATTCTTTCATCATTTTTATTATCTCTCATCTTTTTCTATTCATAGGAAAAGAAAAAACGAAGATTGATATTTTGTTCTATATTAAATTTTTACTTTGTTTTTTTTCAAAAAAAAAAAAATACTATTGAAGTTTTTATTTTTGAAACTTTGAAAAATAAATAAATTTTTTTAAAAAATAGAAAAATACCTTTCCATTTTTTTCTTTTTATTATAGATATTTTTCTTAAAAAAGAAAAAAGTTTAAAAGTTTATACATGTTGAACATTTTGTTGAAAATTCATGCATAAATGACCTTTCAATTGAATGAAACAAAATCCAAGGGCATACATACACATATGATACATTGATAGATATGTTATCGCAGGTGAGAAAAGGTTCAAAGGATGAAACGATGGGGTTAAAGAAAGAAGTTCAAATCATTCATTTGGAAATTACAAAAATGTCACATGTCACATATCGTCATCATTTTCATCATCATCATCATCATCAACAACAATAACAACAACAGCAATAATAGCAATAACAATAACAACATTATTTGTTATTATAATAATAAATACATATTGAAAAAAATGTTATCAATTCACATCATAAAAAAAAAAAAAATTGAAAGTTTTTTATTTTTCACTTTTTGTTTCAAAGGAAAAAAAAAAAAGATTGTTAAAATTATTATTACTAGAATAATAATTTTTGTAATAATAATTATTTTTTGGTTAGTTAGAAATTAATTAAATATCAAAAATATCTGCAAAATAATAATATGATAATTAGATATTCATATTACTGAAATTAATTCATTTTTTTTTTTTTTTTTTTTTTTTTTTTTATAATTACACACTTACATTTTTATTGTAAGAAAAGAAAAAGATTTACTATTCGATTAACAAATATTTTTTCGAAACTAATAAAGCTAAAACTTACTAAATTTAATCTTATAGCTTTTTATAAGTACAATGTAGTAGCCATTAGGATGCTTTAAAGGTGGTAATTTTAAATTTTTTAAATAATTTAAAAAATGACTATAAAATTATTTCTTCTCATTATCATTTACAATGATGTATCTTCTTCCGATGAAAAACTACGGTAACATATACTGTATACCTATCGTACACCCAAAAAAAATGAGGAAAAGTTGAAAAACCTATCTTACCCAAAAAAATAAAGTGGAAAAATAGGAAAGGGTATGAAAAGATAGAAAAATAGAAATGAAAATAGAAAAAATAAAACAATTATCATTTTTTTGATTACTGTATGAATTTGAAGAAATTGATACTGTACCAATTTGATTCACTTTTTGCCTTGGTTTATCAAACGAACAATTTTATATTTTACAAATATCCCACTAATTAATTTAATTTATTAAATTTTAAATATTAAAGCTATTATTTTTATCAATTTCAGTTTATAATTTATACTTATTTCATTTCATTTCAGGTATCGTAACATGGTTACGATCTGGTGAAACTGTTAATATCACTTGGCTTCAATCAGGATCACATAATGTACAATTTTATTTAATCATTAAATTTTATCATTCGATGAAATTTGATGAAATTTGTCATGAATGAAATAAATTCCATTCTTTACAATCTTTTTTTTTTCTATTTTTCTTTCTTTTTTCCTTTTTTGAAATGGATAATTTAAATGATTTAAATGTCAAAGAGGAACTAATTCAAATGGTCAGCATTGTTCATAATTAAATTTAAGGGAAATTTGAAATTGGAGTTATTGAACGAAATGAATCAAATGATTGCACTTTTATCACCAGATACAAGTGTTAATACTAACAATAGAGCTTCGTAATTTTTTTTTTTTTTTTTCAAATTAATTTTTTTTGTAATTTTTATGACATAAATTAATGGGAAACAGGAGTTGCTTCCTTTTTTTTAAAAAAAGAAAAAAATCAACAAAATTTATTTAGCTATAAAGAATTGATATTTACTGTTTATTTTAATATTTCATTTCTAATATTAAATTTTTTTTTTCACAAAATTCTTCTAATTTACATTTAATATGGAAATTCCATAAAGTGATGTCATTTTGTTTTATATCAGTATTAAATTTGACAAATTCTTATTTTTTCAAAAATTTTTGTTAAAAATTTTCTTTTTTTTTTGCTACTATTTTAGGAAAACAATAATGTTACCGGAAAATTACGAATGTTACAATTGTGTGATACGAGCTATCTGGCAATCTGTTGAAATCGGAAAAAATTATTCATCATATTATTCATGCGCTGATGTTAACATTGTTAACGGTAAGTGTTAAAAAATGGTATAAAATAACATTGAAAAAGGAAATATCCGGTTTGCTTAACCGAAATGATATTGTGCAGTACTACTGAAAAAAGAAACATCCGGTTTTCTCAACTGATATTGGACAATTAATCATCGACTTTATAAACTGATTGTATTCATTGTTAGAATTAATTCAATTTTAAGATTTGTCTTCTGTCATTTTGAAAAAAAAAATGACATAAAAAACAAGAAAAGGTCTTTTTTTGCAAAAAAAAAATAAAGTATAAAAAGAAAAAAAAGGAGGAGAAAAGGTAACTTTACTAATGTTTGAAACTGAAATTTGCAAATCGGAAAATTAAAATGAAAAAAGGAAAGAAAGAACTGATGCAATTAACAAAAACAATTAATCGAAATGTTATGCTTTTGTTTTTTTTTAAACTTTTTTTTCTTTTGAATTTTTTCTTTTTCGTTTTTTTCTCTGTCATAAAAGAAGCTATGAAAAAACTTACAAAAACTTCAAAATTTATAAATGATAAATACAAATAGAAGAGAAATATTTTCATATATTAAATAAAATTTTTTCATGTTAGCTACTGTTTTTTGTTTCTCTCTTTTTCTCTCTTTTAATAAATATGGAAGAAAAATTTGTTCAATTTCATCTTTCTATTCTATGCTTTTTGTTTTTTGAATATATCAATCTTTTTTTTTTTTGAACATCTTTTTGATTTTTTTTGAATTTAGCTGCTAATATTGAAGTAAATATTTTCATATTTTTAAAATTTCTTAATTTAAAATGGTACTGAAGAGAAAATATATAATCAATAATATTAAAATTTAATTATGATAAGTGTGTAATTAACATTTTAACTTTATTGAATTTTCTTTTTTGTTATATTTTAGATGTTAATTTTATTTTAAAATTTTAGAAATCCCAGATGGTGATACATGTTTGAGTAATGGAAATCGAAAACACGGAATATGTGAATGTGATGCACATTCATTCGGTGATAATTGCCAATATCATGGTACTGAAATGTTATTAAATTTTATTTCTTTTATTATTTGAAGTTATTCAATCAATTTCACTTTATTACTAAAATTAATTTATTAAATATTAATGATATACAGTAATTTTTAGAAATATTATTATTGAGATAACAAAAAAAAAAAAAAACTTAGTTCTATTATTGAATGCAATCAAATGCTGCAATAATTTTTTTTTTAATAACTAATAGAATAATTTAATAATTACTTTGTAATGTGCATAGTTTAATAGTTTTCAATTTTCAATACATCAAATGTAGGGAAATTGTGAAGAAAATCAAAAAATTTATTTTAACTAGTATGCATAATATAAATGCAAGAAATTAATTCATTAATTTAATAAAGTAGAACATAATTAAGGATGAAATTTACAATCATTTATTACTGAAAGTACGACTGAATTTATTGAAACATTTTTTTTTTTTTGAAGCTTTAAAAAAAATTTTTTTTTGCTAACTTTATATTTGATTATTATTATTCGTTGTAATAAAACTCATAATCATGAAAAAGTAACTCATTAGCTTAAAAATAATAATGTAACTGCTGTTCATTTGTTATATTATTATTACAACATTAGTTTTAATATAATTAATATATAAATAATATTATCCAGAAGTTTTGCTAATTAGTCATTTAACAATGCTTTTTTTTTAGAAACTAAATTTTGTAGATATACTAATATTCCATCTGATTAATACAAAAATAGTATAAATACTGACATTCTAATATTATTTAGCAGCTTTTTTCTCCCTCCCTCTCTTTTAATTAATTATTTAAACCATTATAAATCTTTTGTTTTGTTTTATGCATAAAAAAACACTTTTTTTATTTATTAATTTATTATCTATTTAATTCTCCATTTAACTCATAACTACTTCTGATATAACATTTCAATTATTATTATTTAATTAAATTAAAAACTTTTATCATATGTTGTAATTTTCATAATTTTTGGCATATACTTTAAACTTTCATATTTAATTATTATATAATATAGTACATCAATTAGTATTCCTTAATTAATTATTTAAAAACTATTACCATATGATATAATTTTAATAATCTTTCACATTTAATCATCATATGATATATTAAAATTTGATTAAAATTATCGAACAATTTCAAAATATTTTATCAGAATGAAATTTATCCGAATTTTCCCTTTATTACTTTCTTATTAAGAACAGTAATTAAGCTCATAGTAGTTTGATAAAAATTTTGTATTTAATTATTTAAGTAAATTAATTTGGTGGTATAATATATTTTTGATAACTTTTCACATTTATTCACAAAAAAATTCAAATTATTTCATCAGAATGAAATTTATATAATTCTTTTTTTTTCTATTTTATTAAGCTAATACTAAATTTGATGAAAAATTTTATGTTCAATATTTAGATTTAATTATTTAAACGAAATTAATTTTTTTGGTACAATTATCAATTTTTATTTTTTTTCTTTTCACTTTTTATTTTTTTCTTTTTAACAGATGAATGTATAAATGACAAAGATTGCAACAGCCATGGAAGATGCATGACATTCTCAAATGATGTCACAGCAATAAAACAGTGCTTTTGTCAACGAGGTTATTTCGGAAGAATGTGTCAACATGGTACAGTATCCTTCTTCTTCTATTTTTTTTTTTTTTTTTTTTTTTTCACTCATTTTAATCTTTCAGCAATTTACAGTATTCCCTAGAACTAATTTTATATAATTTTTATATAAATAAAATTTTCATATGAAAAATGTTTTTCATCTTTTTTAATTTTTATATAAATAAAATTTTCATATGAAAAATGAATTATTTTTATCTGTGAGAATTTTGATATAAATATGAAAATAAGTAAGTTTTAAGCATAACTTACATTAAAATATTACTTTTATCAAATTTTTAAAATTTCTTTACTGCAAAAATTATGTTTTACGCCTAAAATATCATTTATTTTTCAATTCAAAAATATATTATTTGATTTTGATACGAATCTTTTGAACATGAAAAATGATGAGATACTTAAAATTTAAAATGTCTACGATATTAGGAAGTGAAAATTGATAATAACAGATTCTTTCTTTTTTTTTTTTTTTTTTTTGATAAGTATTTTAAGCTAATTCAAAGAATGTAATTTTTTAAACTTCCAATTTGTTAAATTAAAAAAAAAAATTAATTTATTCCCTCTAAAAAATATCATTACCAGAACAAAAGTTTTCTTATATAGCATATGAATTTATTAGCAAATAATTTGTAAATTATTTTTAAAATAGCTTAAAATATCAAATGTGAATAATTTTCATTTATTATAAATATTTATTCTTATTTATTAATAATACTGAAAAATATTTCATCAACAGAACATAAACATTCATCATTTATAATTTAAAATTAAATTTTATTACATGCAGTAAAAATGTTTGAATTTATTAAAATGTATGAACGAAATTATAATGTGTGAATAAAATTTTTATAATTTAATTACACATTTATATTCTTTGTGTGAAATATTCTTGATAAGTTGATAATTAAATAAATTTTTTTTTTTTTTTTTTTTTAGTATCACAGAGTTTTACGGATGATTCGGAATTTGTTCCATCATTGTATCATATGAAACAGGTTGGAGAGGATAATGATAAAATTTATTGGAGGATATTACAGGTTGGATATTATCATAAATTTTATAACTGATAAATTATTTTAAAAAAAAGTTAAACTATCGATGTTTCTATAATTCTATAACTGATAAATTATCAATGTATAAGTTATCAATTGAATAAATGAAAATTTACTCTTACAATAAATATTGTTATTTCTGAAGCTATATTAAACTATTGAATTGAATTAACCTGTGTCATTAATTTAAACTAAAAACAAATAAAAGATTAAAATGATAAATTTAAATTTAAATTGTGTATGGTTATTACTGGTTTTTTTATACATGAATTAACTAATTAATTTAAAATTATCTGTATTATTATCATAGATAATTAATATTTTTTTTTCTAACACCTAAATTTTTATTGATTTATTGTAATTAGATACTAATTATCACTTCTTTTTTCTGTTTTATATTAATGCAATTATTTTGTTAAATTAAATTTTCTTCCATTAATTATAATATTTATTTTCATTTTATACTAACTTTTTTTTGAGATAATATAAATTTTTTCTCTCTCTCAAAATATCATTTATTAAACTATTTTGTTACTTCTGAAAAAGAATTTTTTTTTTTTTGAAATAATTTAATATTGCACTGTTTCAATTTAATAAATTTAAACAATGCAAAAATTAAATTTTCATTTACAAAAATTGTGGCAGCTATTTATTCATTTGTTAATATCATTTGAATGAATTTAATTCAATATTTTTAAAATATATTATTTAATTATATTAAATTATTACTAAATAAATAATTAAAACTAATAGTACACGAATAATTTGCAGTCATAAAATATTATTTAATTTTATATTTATTTTGATTATTTGTATTTCCGCATGATCGCATTTCATTTTTTACTTTTTTCTCACTTTTTTTGTCCCTTTTTTTTGGATTTTTTTTTTATTTCCGAATGAAATAGAATGGAATTTACTCATGGATAATTAAATTTTCGATTTTTCTTTTCATTTCCTTTTCAGTATCAATTAAAATAATAATAATTTTCTTTTCGATATTTTTCGTTCAAATTTTTTCTTCTTCTCTTATTATTATTTTTCTTTTTTTTTAAAAGATTACATTTAAATTAAGCAATACCATTAGAAAAAACAATTTTTTTGCTTTTCAAAATTAATGAAATAGCTAAGTTTTAAATTTTTTTTTTTTTTTTTAATTTTTTTTTTTTTTGCTATCTAATTTGGTGAAATAAGTAGACTTAAAAATAATATTTGCTTAATAAAACTCTCTCTTTTTTTTTTTTTTTTTTTTTTTTTGCTATAAAAATTTGATAATGAAATAAATTTGATTAAATTTTAACTAATATAAGAAAAGATTAATTTTACTATAATTAAAATACTTTAGCTGTAATAGTTAATTCGTAACATTATGGAATTTTGTTATATCAAAATGATATGAATTAGGTTGGATTATAGAAATTTTGAAACCTTGACCGAGATTTATCAATATTTGATGTAATTCATTACAATATTTTCATCTTTATCATATGCTTTTCGATCTTTTCCGTAACATTGTTTACATCAAATACCGCCACGTCTTATCATTCCTCAAAACATTGTCACATCAAATTCCGCCCCATTCGTCATATCTCATTCATAAATGATTGATGAAATATTAATCATTTTACTATCCGCATGCGATTGCTTTTAATCTTATCATTTTATCAGCAGTACAGAAATGAATAATAATTCGCTATTTTAAAATTCAATTAATCTTAGATTAAATTTAAATGAAACATAAAAGATTTGAGAAAAACAAAAAAAGACGAGAAAAAGTGACAAAAAAAAAAAAAATCTTACATATTAACAAATATATTATTATATGTTAGCAAATATTATATAGAAAATTCAAAAAATAAAAACGAAAAAAAAAAAAAAAAAAAGGAATTGATGAGATTTGCAAAAATATTTTCCATAAGATGGAAAAAGTTAATGATTAATGATTAATTTAAACTTTCAAATATTACAATTTATTTTTGTTATTATAACATTCAAAAAAGTTATAACAAATGTGTAATTTTTTTATAGAATATTCCAATATAAATATTTAATAATAATTAATAATGATAAATGTTAATTTATATCCAATATTTTTTATATATTTTGCAATTAATTTTGAAAATTTCATTCTTTTTTACATTTTTACATTATAGAATTGAAGCAAGAAGAGAAGAGAACAAAAAACAAAACAAAATAATTTATGAGTTTAAAATTAGAAAAAATGTTTATTAAATAAATAATTTAAATTTAAAGTTTGAATATAAAATATAAAATAAGTTAAAAATTATTATTTATTTTTTCAGTCTTTATTATTGTTATTGCCATCAATTTTTATTAATTATTATTCTTATTAGCAAATTAATGATTTGTTTACAGTATGTATTAATTATTCATTTTGAAATATTCAAAAGAATTTTTCAATTTAAATGACATTTGTTTGATTAGTAAATTTTACAAACTTCAATTATGTTCTTTTTAGAACGAAATTGAATTTGTATTAAAATTCAAAACTGATTCTTGGATTGGTATTGGTTGGAAACCGAAAAATTCCAATGGATATTGTCCTTTACCGCACAATTTTGCAAATTTACAAGAGAAACCATTGGATGATTTGATGACTACATCATTAACATCAACATTATCATCGTTATCATCATCATTATCATTATCATCATCGTTATCATCATTCTCACCATCATCATCATTGTTGACATCTCAAATAGCTGCTAATAAACAAAGTGAAACAATCACAAATGAAGTGCTTCCATCTGAATTAGCCAGCGATACTCAATCACCAGATATTCATAGTGTAAAAATTAAAAGTGAGATTTTGAATTTAAAAAAAAAAAAAGCGAAAAAGTTGTAAAGTGAAAATTGATTTATTAAAAAACATTAGGAATGGAGTAAAAATAAACTATTCCAAAATTTAGAAGTATAATAAATTAATGAAAAGAAATGATTTCATTTTCATATTTATAGGATTAAACTATAAAAAGGTTTATTTATCATTTCCTAAATGTTTCTTTACTAATAGTTATGGTTCTTCTTTCCTGTTTAATTTCCGGATTAATTGTTCCGCTTTTTTTTTTTTTAAATTATCGGACATATCGTAGTAATGTCAGCTAAATCATACAAATTATTCATTGTTTTTGATTTTTTCTTTTTCTTTTTCCAGAAATTTGTAATGAAAATGAAGAATTCTCTCATTGTCCAGAATTCACCCGACAATGTGAAGCATCTTGTGACTGGACAAGATTTCCGGAAACAATTCCAAATTGCCCGCATACTTGTGGTACACCAAAATGCATCTGTAAAGAAGGCTTTGTTCGATCAGCAAATGATAATAATACCTGTGTACCGTTTCATATTTGTTCTGATGAGGTAAGCAAATGAAGAAAAGATAATTTCATTTAAATTATTTTTTATTTCTCTTTTTTTTTCTTTTTTCTGATTCTTAGTTTATTATATGAAATATTAGCACAGTTATAAGAAAAAAAGAATGATAGCTTATTTTATCATAAAATATATTAAGAAACAAAATAATAAAGTTTTACCATAAAATATGCTAAAATCATAGTCTAAAACTTATTTATCATAGATGAAAATTTATTTTATCACTTAATCATAAACTGAAACTTATTTTTCACAGACTAAAATTTATTTTATCATTTTAACAGACTGAAATAGAATGTCCAATTAATTCAACTTGGGCAAAATGTGGTATTGCTTGTGAACCAACATGTGAAAATATGTACGATACATCACCATGTCCAGCAATTTGTGATCAACCAGCCTGTACCTGTGCTGATAATTATGTTAGACATAAGGGAAATTGCATCTTTTGGGGTGATTGTCCAAGTAAGTATCATTTGTTATCATTATCACAAACTATAATCATCATCTCTTACTTAAAATTATAACAAATATCTCTTTTGAGAAATTTTTTTAACATCATATATTTTTAATTTACTATTTTAATTTACATACAATACTAAATGAAATTAAATGCTAAATTTTAATTTAATTTATACATAATATCAGTTAGAATTAAATGCTAAATTTTAATGAAAATTTCAAAAATAAAAACAATAAATAAAATAATATTAATTTCAGATCTCGAGCAACATTTTGCATCTGATTTATCCACTTCATCAAAGAAAACATCTGCAATGAGTGAATCAATTGCCACTGAAATGAAATTTAATCATGCTAATATTGATCAATTAGAAATAACAACTGTAACACCGATTGTAACATTAGCTACAACAAAAACATTAATTGGTAGTTTAACTTGTGGCATTAATGAAACAATTAGCGAATGTGGTCGAGCTTGTGAAATAAGTTGTAACAATGTAAGTTTCACTGAAATAATTTATTATCAAAATTTAAATTTTTAAAATTTATACAATTTAATATAATATTATGCAATATTAAGCAATCATTAATAATAATAAGTTTTAATATATTTAATAAATTTAAAAATTTAAATTTAATATAACTTTTTATGTTTTTTTTTTTTTTTTTTGTTTTCTTTTATTAGATAATATTTTATATTGTATAATTTAGCTTAGCTAATAACTTCTATCACATACATTCATTTTAAAACATTAAAAATTATTTTTTTTTAGCTTTTATTATTGCATTTAAAATGAGAATAAAAAAAATGATAAAATTAATCGATGCTATTTGATGAATTGCAGGTGTATTCTCGAGAAAAATGTACGCGATGTTATCGTCCTGCATGTGCATGCATTCATGGTTATGCACGAATTGATGATCGATGTATTTATTGGGCTGATTGCCCACGTGAAAGTAAGTATTACTTTTTATTTCTTACTTTCTCATTAAATTTTTATTCAAAATAATGAATGAATTATAATATTTTGTTTATTAGATTTAAATAAAAAAAAACATTGTAAAATGTGAAATCTTTTAAAATTTAAATTTTTAATAAAACTTTCAAATTATTCCTTTATAGTTTCTTTTTTGTTTTCTTAGATCATCGTTTATCATATCATCATGATCGGCAACCTAATCATTCGTCAATACTACGATCATTGAAAACATCGATGACAAATGGCGCAGAATATTTATCAAATGGAACAGACTTGATAAATTCATCTCTAAAACTATCAAATAGAAATGGAAATGAAATACATCAGTTGAATTTAGCTGATACTACAGCAATTATTGATGATACAAATGTTGAATTACAAAATATTTCTAATCCAAAATTTACACATTTATTAGAATCTGGTACGTTTATTTTAATGATTCATGACATTTTTTTTTTTGAAAACTTAAAATAAGTTTGGTATTTATTTCCAATTATTTGTTATTTAATTTAATTGACTAATTTGATTTAAAAAAAAAAAAAATCAATATTTTAGACAAAGAAATCGATCAAACTAAGCATGAAGGGAAAAAAATTAATGATTTTTGCTATATTTGATATTAATTGACTTTGTCACCTTAGTTTATATATATTTCTCTCTCTCTCTCTCTCTCTTCGTTTCTTTTTTTTAAATCAAAAAAAAAAATTTTTTTTTCAAATTTCAAAAATTTTAGGAGTTGCTGGTGATGTTTGTTATGGTGATTGGCGTTGGCCACCTGGATGTCGTGATTGTGATTATCGTATTTCATGGAATTACCTGGATGATACTGATGAGATTGAATTTTCAATTGAAACACGTGCACCATCAAATTGGTGGACAGGTGTTGGTTTTTCACCTACCGGTACAATGGTAATTTTTGATTATTTATCTTCATTTATCTCTGATAATGTAAATTTATCTTCAACTTATCACTAATAATTATATATGAGAGATTAATATTACAAAATTAATTATAAGATATTAAAAAAAACAAACTTTTCAAATTTTAATAATTTTTTTAGATAAAAAAATTTTTGAAACTTAAAATGTTTCATTTTCTATGATTTCTTCTTTTTAAGGTTGAAGCTGATATTATTATTGTAAAAAGTCGAAATGGTGAATTATCATTGCATGATATGTATAGTACAGAATATGGCGTACCACGTGAAGATAGTAAACAAGATGTTTACACGCCAACTGTAATCGGAACACATGTTAATGGCGTACTAAGGGTACAATTTACACGGAAACGTGATACTGGTGATCGAAAAGCTGATCATCATTTTTCGGAAACTAATTGTTACAAATTTTTATTTCCAGTTTCTGGTGGACGATTAGAACCGGTACGCATTTAAATTAATTTTTCATTCTAAAGTTTATTCTCTTTTTTTTTTTTTTTTTCTAACTTCTTTCTTCAAATTCTTTCTCTAAATTTTTTTTTTAAAAAAGATTATGCATTGAATTAGATTATTTTTTTCATAAAATTTTGGTAATTTTGAATATTTTAACATTAAATGTTTATTTTAATTGAAACAAAAGTAAATTATCACTTAAAAAGTGTAATTTACATCAGTTTTCAAAATTAAAATCCTATATGCTTATTGTGTTTTTAAATATATCCAAAATAATGCTATGCTAGAATAGTAAAATTTTTTGTAAACGTTTTTTGTTTTTAAAAATGAAAAATATTAGAAAAACTTAAATTAATAATTTATCCATTTTTTATGTATTAATCAAAAATGATTTTCCATTATTAATTAATTGTTAATTCAATAATTAGTTATAAATTGTTGCTCAAATATTTAAATGAGAAGGGTTTTTTTTCGGAATTTAACAAATTTTTTTTTTCAAAGTACAAAATTTACTTTTTTTTTAAATTTAAGAATGGCCAATTATCAAAGCATATTAATATACCGCATGTATCAGAGAATAAAATTTGCATTCAGAGTTGTACTGCTCCACAAAATCTTCAAGGTGTGATTTTTTTATTTATAAGTTAATAAATTATAGTGATAATTGCAGACTTAAGTTTATTTGTTTGATATTATAAATGTTGAAAAATTAATTATGAAAATACCACAATTGTAATTTATAAATTATTAAATTATGAATAAAATAAAAAAGAGAAGTAAATAAAATTAAATTAACGAAGTTTCTTCTTTTCCTAATTTTAGAAAGTGAAAAAGATAAGAAAATCTAAAAATGAAAGCAATAGAAATTGGTAGACAATGTTGAAAAATTATATTTGTGAGTGGGATAAGAATAAAATGTGAAATTTGCATTAATTTCAATTAATACTAAATTGAATTGAGCTAAAAAGAAAAAAACTTTTTATTAGATCTAATTTAGATTTAATTTTAGCCGTAGGTTCCTGTGAAACCGAATATCGTTATCCGGCTGGTTGCAGTGGTACTGCATGCGATTATATTGCTAAATGGGAATATAGCATGGCAAGAAAAGATGTAAAATTTGAAATTTCATCGAAAGAATTAGGTCGCTGGACCGGAATTGGCTTTTCTCGAGATGGTCAAATGGCAAACTCTGATATATATACCGGATGGGTATTTGAAGGTAAAGCATATGTTACGGATCGATTTGCATATGGTCGTCAACTTCCAGCAATTGATCCGGCTGATCGTCAAGATATTTATGAAATTAGTGGTAAAGCAGAGGATGATATTCAGGTTTATTCATTTATTTATTTAATTTCTTCTATTTTTTTTTTTAATGATGAATTATTTTTTTAAAAAATTTGTTCAAAAAAATTATATAGCAAGTAAAATATTGCTAAATAAGTAAAAATATTATTTAAAAAAAAATATATATTCAAAAATTTACTAATACTATATAGCCAAATAAAATATTAGTGAATAAGTAAAAACATTAATTTAAAAAAAAAAAAAAAAAAAAACAACAAATTAACAATTTACTGATACTGTATAATAAATAAACTTTTAGTGAATAAGTATAAATATTGAATTTTTTTAAAAAAATTTGGGAATTTATTAATATTATATAGCTAAATAATGTATTAATGAATGAATAAAAATATTAATTTTTTTAAGCAAAAAAAAAAAAAAAAAGATTAATCAAAAATTATTTATTATTATTTCAATTTACAGACAATATCATTCCGTCGAAAGGTATTACCAGCTGATACAATTACCGATTTTCCCCTCAATATATGCTATTATTTTTTATTTCCTATTGGTGGTGGACGTGTTTTAGCACGGAAAAGTCAAGATTTTCAAAATGCTAAAACACCAATCGGTTATCATGACCTTTATCAACCTAAAATTTCACGTACGAAAATTTGCATATGTGATCAGGTAATTTTATTTACTTGAACAAGTCTAACTTTTTATATGCTATTGGAATATATAATTTTGTTCAATATTGATTTAAACTTAAAATTTTGTTAAAAAATTTTACATATAACTTCCATTATTTCTTTTTCTATTAGCTATTTTATTCTTTTCAATCATACTTTACTGAATTAACTCATCGAAATTATACCTTATTAAATCATTCTCCGAGCTATTATTTCACTAAATCACTTTAAAATCACTTTTCACTGAATCATCTTTCAGAATTATAACCTTACTCCAGATCATGATTCACTCTATCATCCTTCAGAATCATATCTCACTTAACCACTCCTCGAAATACTGTTTCATTCAAAATCATACCTTATCGAATCATTCTTCAGAATCATTTTTTACTGAATTATCCTTCGGAATGATAACTTTACTTAATCGTTCTTTGGAAATAATTGAAAAAAAAAAAAAAAAAATTTTTTTTTTTAAATATAGGCAACAGAATGTAATGAAATAGTTAATTAATTATAAAATATAATTACATTCATTAGTAATCAGAGGATAAGCCAATCTGAGTTGTTCTTTAATTTGAATTAAATTCAAAACTGAAATAATTGTGAAATTTTTCTTTTTCAGAACGGTGTATCAATTGCCTCTGATGATGGACCACCGGCAGTTCGAAATCGTCGTCGAATAAATCAAATGGAAATGTCAACTCGTTTACGACGACAATCGCAAGATCCATTTGAAATTCAAATTGATCCTTTTTCAGGAATCGATAAAGGCATATATTATTTGTATCATAAATATATTGCATTTAAATATTCTGAATTATAATGAAAAATTGAATGTAAACATAAAAATTTGCTATAATTTAAATCAAATTATAACAAAAATAATTTCATAATCAAAAATGAGAACTTTTATTGCTAATATCATATTTAATTTCTGTTGTAAACTTAAATATAATATTTTTGGATAAATTAAAATGTAACAAGTAATATTGTAAAAATATACATATACATATGAATTTACGAATTATAAAGTAATGTTTCTTTAAAAAAAAAAAACTGAAATTTTTAGTATCAGAACAAGATTTTCCAATTGAGGAAAATATCTCGAAATTGGAAAATGGAAATTTACCAGCTCATTTATCATTTGAAATCAAACAACCTATTACTGTGACTGATACCACTTCAAATTCAATCGATCATACGATAACTGACAAAAGTAATATTCTTTCATTAACATTATTAAGTAAGTAATAAAGTACCCTTTCACAAATTATGTATTTTAGTTACTGCATCAGATGCATCCGAAATTATGGAATGGAAATTAAAATCAGAATCAAAACTATCAACTGTTCCATTTGCTGATACAACTACTCATTTAGATATATCTAAATTGGAATCAAAATCAGAAACAAAATTAGTACCAAAATCAATTTCACAGCAATTAAAGCAAATAAGAGATGAAGAAAAATGTAATTTTCATCTTACTTATCAGATAAAATTTAATTTTTCCTTTTTTTTTTTTTTGGATAGATTTTTTTAACTTCAAAATTTTTTTTTTAATGAATAAAATTTGTAGTGGATGAAGATCCAATGGATTGTCTTGATATAGTGATAGGAGTGATAATTGATGGCATATCACAAGTACGCGATTATTATTCATTTCCACAAATTACACCACAATTAGATGAATTTTTTGGTGGAAAAGATTCATTAACTTCAGCAACTGCTTATCAACAAGATGGCATTACGACGATTATTTTTCGGAAACCATTAAAAGGTATGAATTATTTACATTAAAATTTTACAAATTTTAACATTTTTACTAATTTTATTCAACCAAAAAAAAAAAAAAAAAGAAGGAAAAATTCAACTAATAATAGGTAAGTAAATTTAATAAAAATTCAATAATAATAAATTAATTAAATAATTAATTTTTTTTTTCAAACATATTACTTTATTATTTTGCTTTTAAAGCATCTGATCAAGCTGATCGAACAATATCATCAGAAGAGACAACCGTAATTTGGGCAAAAGGTGCAAAATTTACGCCATTATCTGACAAATCTATTTCTCAGGTAAGACTTTATTTTCTCAGTTTCTTTTGTTTTGCTTTTTTTTTATTTGTTTTATTTTCATTAATTTGAGCAAAAGATGCAAAATTTTTATCAACTTAATCATATTTCACTAAATAAATTCACATATATCTTCATGAATATTGAATAATTAATTTCATTAACGTTATTTATTAATTGCTAATATTTATGTAAGATATCCAAAATATTTTTAAAATAAATTTTAAGAATATTTTGGAGAAAGCGGCAAATTCATTTGTAAATGATAAAAGTAATCGAGGACAATTGGTTATCAATTTCTTTGGTTTGTTAACGTTTTATCAATTTTTCCTTTTTTTTTTGATTCAAGATTTAGTAAATTGATATATAATTTTTTTTTTCTTGTTATTTTCTAAATAAAATTATTTAACAAATACATAATTTGTTTCTCTCTTATTATATATTTAAATATTTACTAAACATAAATATACTTACATATTACTTTTACAATAATTTATATTTATTAATGATATGTAACTAAGATTATATATCTTCTTTTATTCCTTCTTTATCATCTTTTATTATTATAAATTAATAATGATCTAATAAAAATTATGATTAATAAAGAAATAAACAATTCTACAGCGATAAGAAAAGGAAAGGAAAGATAGGGAAAGTAACCTAAATTTGAAATTCAAAAAAAAAAAAATGAAATAATTTTTTTTAAAGGAAAGGAAAAAATATATATATATTAGCATTTATTTATTATTTAAATTTTTGCAGATAATATGGATGACGAATTAATGGAATATCAAAAATTGAACAATAAGAATGAATGTTTTGGTAATTTTACATATCCCACAAATTGTATCAATGAAAAATGTATTTATACAATTAATTGGTGGACTGATGGGAAAAAAATTTCATTTTCATTAGTGGCATTAATTTCAATAAATTATTCCACTGGTATTGGCTTTTCATATGATGGAACAATAGCACATTCCGATATAATTGCTATTAATGTATTAAATGTATGTTAAAAATAAATTTCATTTATTGTTTAAAATAATGAAAAAATAAATTACATTTTTTACTAATTATAAATTTTAATAATAAACTAAATTATGCCATATAAGTAATTTTAGTTGGATTTTTTCCTTTTTTCATCTTTTTTTTACTTAATTTTTATACTCAAAATAATTACCTGAATAATTTAAGATTTAAGGAGCAGTTTTTTTGTTTTTTGTAGTAATGATTGTAATTTAATTAATATAACATATGTAAGTATTTAGTTAGTATTAGCTGAACTAAATATAATTGTTTTTTTTTTTTTCAAATTTTTGATATAATTTTGTATATTTAAAATTTATTTACTATAAATTAGTCTTTTTTTTCACAAATAATTTTTACATTTCTTTTTTTTTTTTTAAATTTTTTACATATTTTTTCGGTTTCGGTATTATTAATGCTAATTTTAACTTTTAAAAGAATTTACGTTTTGTAAATTTTTTTAAATTTTTACATTTTTTGATTTGAAAATATATATAATTTAAAAAAGGAGAGAGGAATAAATTTTAGAAATAAAAAAAAAAAAGTTAAAATTGATTATTTACAGGAAGGTATGATAAAAGTTTTGGATATGTTTTCATCAAATTATAATCAACCAAAATTAGATAAGGAACAAGATTTATTCAATATTCGAACATTATATGATCAACATCGATTATATGCAAATTTTTCGCGTTATTTAATTTCAAATGATAATGATAATGATATTTCCTTTGATCAATGTGTTTATTTTCTATATCCAATTTATGGTTATATGCTAAATATGGGTAAATTTTTCTCTGATTTTTTTCTATTATTTAAGATTAATATTTATTAATTATTTAATCATTTTTTTTTTTTGCACTTAGCATTTGCTTATTAAAATTTTACTCAAATTATTTTTGAAATTTTTCTTTTTGTCATAGAATTTTTGTAACATTTAATTAATTATTTAATATATAACTTTTTCATTTTTTTTTTTTGCCTCTTTTAGAATAACATTAATTAGTTTATCATTGATTAATTTATCTTTTCAAAATATTTGCAAATAATACTCAAAAAAAAAAAAAAAAAGATTCAGAATCAAAATATTTTTGTTAATTTTTTCAGAAATGAATGAAATGAATAAATATGAAAAAAATTTTATTCCATCCGAAATGAAAATTTGTCCAATGTTATGCATTAATAATTTGGCTGTTAAAAAAATGCCACAAAATGAACCACTTCATAAGGCATCTATCTTACCGGAAGAATCAGTTATTACGGAAAGTGTAAGCTTATTAAAATTTTACAATTAATCTTAAAATATTTTATCACTTATCAATTTATCAGTACATTTGTATGTATGAATTTGCAGTAAATATATGTTTATATGCTGAAATAATATCCAACTTTTTGAATTAACTCTTATTTTAAAAATTAGGGAAAAGAAAATTGACAGAAACAAAAGATTTATGATTTAATAAATGAATTTTTAAATGATTAGAAAAAATTCTAAATATTTATTTATGTTATAAAAAATTACAATTATAATACTTAATAATTTATTTTTTGAAAATTAAAAAAGGGAATGAAAGAAAACAACGACAAAATGATTGGTACCAAAAAAAAAAAAATAGAAACTTTTCCTTTTTGAATATTTTTTTTAAGGCTACATTTGATGTGGTATTGCGTATTTTGAATCGTGAATGGAATTCATATTTTGTTAATCGAAATACTCAAGAATTTCATCAATTAGCTTCGGATGTAATTAATGAAGTTAGTTTCTTTCATAATAGAATTAGCAACTTTTTTCTTTCTTTCAAAATTTTTAAACTAATATGGAAATTTTGAATGACAAAAATTTCAGGTTAATGCAATGGTAAAAACGAAATATCCGCAAATGCGAGTAATTGAAATCAAAAAATTCAAGTGAGTAATTATTATAATCAATAAATGCGAAGTAAAAATATTGTTAAGCATTTCAATTTAAAAAAAAAAAGAAAAAAAATTGGCTAAGTTTGATATGTTATCATTTGTGATGATAAAAATTGATGAAATTGAAAATCAGTAGAGTGATAAATTAATGCTTAATAATTGATTTGGATTTCTTTCTTGGCTTTAATTATTTAAAAAAAAAAAAAAAAGAAAAAAAAAAACACAGCAAGTTAAAATTGCTTCTTCTGCATATTTCTGAATTGTTAGCTTTTTTTTTTGTTAATTAAAAATGAACGAGAAAAAAAGTTTAATCAGTTTTCTCGAAATAAACAATTAATAGATTCAAATTTCAGAAAAGGAAGTATATTGGCTTTTATGACACTTTTCTCAGAAGATGATCCTTCACCAAGTGAACATGAATTGAAGGAATATTTAAATAAGGTTGAAATTTATAAATTATTTTCATGTCATTGTCTGTATTATTATTATTTTAATTTATTTTTGTGCTATTTAGAAGGGAAAAAATTCAAATAAAATGCATCCATTTGAAATTGTGATTTTTTCTTTTCTATTAATTATAATTCTATTTTTTTTTTTTAATTTCCTAAATTTTTGTTTTTTTTTAGCAAGCTAAACTACAACCATCGGAAGGATTACATTTGGAAATAGCATCAGTGATCCTAAGAAAAGCAGAAAAAGGTTAATTTTTCATTTCATCCTTCTTTGCTTATTCTTGAATGCCTTATAACATTAATCAATTTTATCAAATATTCATATCAATTTGTGATTCATATTTATGGTACCAATCTAATTTATGATTCACATCTTGGTGCCAACCGTATCAGCCTATGACTCATAGTTGTGGTACCAGTCGTATCAGCTTGTTTTTTTTTGTAGCACTAACCGTATCAAATAGTATACCAGCCGTATCAATTCATGACCCATATTTCGGCACCAACCGTATCAATCTATGACTCATATTTATGGTATCAAGTGTATCATTTATGGCTCATATTTGTGGTACCAAGTGTATCCATTTATGACTCATATTTATGGTACCAAGTGTATCCATTTATGGCTCATATTTGTGGTACCAAGTGTATCAATTTATGGCTCATATTTGTGGTACCCTGGTTATCCATTTGTGGCCCATATTTATGGTACCAAGTGTATCAATTTATGGCTCATATTTGTGGTACTAATCATATCACTTCTTAATTATCTCACCCAATATCATAATTAATTTTATAGATTTATCAAATAAATTAGGCAGAATTCAAAATTGGATTATTCTAAGTATCGGCGTCTCATTATTTCTTATTGCCACATTTCTTGTTTGTTGCATTATTAGTCGTTCACGAAAGGTGCGATCGGATAATTTTGTAAGTTAATTACACTTTTTTTTTTTTTCTTTTTTAATACCAATCTCTGATAAGAAATATTTAATGTGCATATTTTTCAAAATTTGTAATTAATATTAAATAAATTGGTAATACTACTACTACTATATGCTATAAAATAATTATAGTTAACAATTTTGACAATTTAATTTAAAAAAAAAAAATCGATTTATTAATTGATTACTATCAATAAACTTTATATTGATATAACAATATTTATTTGTATATGATAACCTATTTCTTATCTTTTTTCAATCATTTAATCAGTTCTTAAATTATATCATTTTTTTTTTCTTTTTTATTCTTCATTTTATCTTTTCTTTTCTTTTTTTTTTTTTCAGAATAATTACAATGTACATTATCCAATGAATGGTTATGGCTGCAATAATACTCGTATGTTATTTTAATGAAGCAATCTATTTTATTGATAAATTAAAATATATTATTTTTTTTCATTCATTTATCTAAATAAGTATAAATTAAATATAAAATGAAAATTATTTTCTTATTAAAAAAAAACAAATTTTTTATTTTTGTTGTATATATTTAGTTGCTGTTTCACCGATGAATAGCAAAAAAAGTGGTTTCGAGAATGCAGCATATCATGCGACACATAGTAGACAATTTTCACAAGCAACAACAGCTTCACAAAATGGTACCACTAGCAAAAGTTCACCAAATACATTGGAAGAAATTCCAAAAGGTGTTGGTGAAACTACCTATCAAGAGTGGTTCTCGAAGGTTAATACTTTATTTTACTTTTATCTTTTTTTTTTTTTTCTACATATGAATAGTAAATATTTAAAAGAAAAAAGATCTTTTTTTTTTTTTTGTTTTCAAAAACTACTATCAACAATAATTCTCTAAAAGTAAAATTTTATTTTACATTTATCTTTTTTTTTTTTTGTACTTATAAATAGTAAATACTTAAATGATTCTCTAAAGTAAATATTTTATTTTACTTTTGTCTTTTTTTTTTTGTACTTATAAATATTTGAGAGAGTGTGTTTCTTTTTTCTTTTCAAAAAAACTATTATTAAGAATGATTCTCTAAGTTAAATACTTTATTCTTTCCAAAAAAAGAAGGTTTTTTTTTTTTCTTTTTCAAACTTATCTTTCATTTATGATTAAATAATAACTTATATACTCATAAATAGTATTATTAAATTTCTTCTATAACTTTGCTTTTTTTTTAGAATAAAAGAATTATTTTTAAATTAATTTTACATTTTATATTTATGAAATTATTATTTTTCAATTTATTTTTTCTTTTTTTAAATAATTTTTATTTTGAATATTTTTTATAATTAAATTAATTTCACTCATTTTATTTAGGTTGCTTCAAAACCTGGTGCACAACAACATGAAGAAATATCATCACCGTCTGTACGGCATCCAATTTCTCGTCGTTCATTTAGTGGACCATCTTATATGTCACATACTCAGGATGCTAATAATTTTTATGGTGAAATTAGATTAGGACCACCTGGATATTATCGTCCTTATTAAAAATTGAAAATAAAAAATTAAGAAAAAAAGTGAAAAAAAAATTTTTTTAAAAAATGAAAAAAGACAATAAAAGATTTCATTAATATTTATCTAACTATTTTATTTTTTTGTTATCATTTAGGATGCTGAAATTTTTTTTCTTTCGAAAATTTGAAAAAATTAATTATGTTTGGATAATTTTTATATAGCTATTAAAATATTGAAATATCAGATCAATTTGAAAAAAAGAAAGAAAAAAAGATTTAAAATTCAAATTTGTTAATCCTAAATTTATATGATAAGATCAGCAGTGTATAATGATGATCTTATTAGTTTATTGATGTGATAATGAAGTAAATTTATTGTTGCTCAAAATGACTTATACAAAAACTTAAAATTTTACAATTCTAAACTTTTCATTTTCAGCAACACTGAATTTTTATATTTTAATTTTGGAATATTTAGAATGCATACCAAACATATTTTTTAATTCGTGCATTTATTGTGTGTATAATTACTATAATTTATTAAAATTTCACACTTTATTTGTGTGTTTTTTCTCTTCGCTATTAAATTTATATTTTTAATTTTAATATTTTAAATTATAATTGTTGTATTTGATCTAATTGACAAGCAGTTTCTTCTTAAGATTTTTGATCGATTTCTATCAAATTAAAATGATTTACTATTGAAAGGATCTAATTAGAGTTGATAAGAAAAAAGAGAGAATTGAGAAATATCAAAATTTTGATGAAATTATATTAATAATTTTAATTTTAATCAATACAAATTAATATATATATTAAATGCAAAAACTTTATATAAACGCAAAAAATTAGAAAAAACTAAATTGGTTTGTTTTAAATAAAATGATTCTTAAAAAATGATCATTTAATTATTATTTTCTTTATTCACAAAATTTTGAAATTGATATTTTCAAAAAGAAAAAAATTGTCTTTTTTTTTAATTTTAATTAATTATAAATTTTGTTCATTGTTGTAGATTTATTGATAAGTTTTCCTTTTTTTTTTTCTTTTTTTATGTTCGATTTTATTATCATTCCAAAATGTAGAATTAATAAAATTTTATTGTGCATTCCAACAATTAATGGATTGCTTTTATTTTAATTGTTTTCTTTTTTTTTTTAAAAAAAAAAAAAATCTGTCATTTTGTGTTTATTTAAAAATTTTTCATTCTTTTTTTTTTTTTGAAAAAAGTTTTTGAAATGATAAATAAAAAGCGAAAGTCAATAATTAAAGCATAAATTTTCATTCCTTTCAAAAATATTTTCAGTAATTTATTTTTGTCTCTTTGTCAAAAAATTTTTTTAGCCATAAAAATTCTTCAAAACTAAGTCTTTTGTTTTTTTCTTTTTTCAGCCATATTTTTTTTTTTTTTTTGAAAAGATATTTTGTTGAATTTGAATACTTTTTTTAAACAATGTTTTTCGTATTTTTATTCTGCATGAATTGATAATATTTGCTAAAATGAATGCTATGCATTTTATTATTTTAAAATTATTATCCCAAATTAATTCTATTTTTATTGTTATTAAATATATGCAAACTGTTTAACAAATAAGAATGTTATTAATTATTTTATACTTTTTCATTACATTTCCTTTTTTTATACCGTTTAGAAATGACTATATGTAAATTAATTTGGTAGGCAATATTTAATCTTTTTTAAATAATAATTATTTTAAATTAAATTATTTCACAATCATTGTATTTTTTATTATTTTCAAATAAACTCATTGCAAAAATGAAAAACTGAAGATAAGAAAATGAAAAAAAAAATTTGTAAATTTATAATTTCTTGAAATTTTCAAAAAAGTGAAATTTTAAAATATATCTTTCTTTTCAATCAATCTTTCAAAAAAAAAAAAAAAAAAAACTAAAATTATTTTTTGAGCACAGCTTGCAAAAATTACTGTGAAAAGTTTTATGTTTTATGTATGATTGTATGATTACCTTTCGTTTTTTTTTTTTTGTAATTTATATTTATTGTTGAATAATAAAAGAAAAAGATTACTGCGTCAATTAATGACACAAATTTTTTTTTTTTAGTTTTAATAAAAATAGAAATAAGAAGTGGTGGACTTTTTAATAAAATTTTTTTTAATAATTTAATAAAAGTTTTTCATCAAAAGGTAAACAGAAAAAAGCTTCGTTTTTCATAAAATCGAATTTATCAAATTAATGGGATGAGTAAAACTAATACTTCATTAGAAAGATATAAGTGAGAAAAAGATAATTTGTAATATAATTAAAGTAATTAAACAGTTTATAATCTAATTAAAACAATTAATTCAACAACACATATCAATAATAATTGTATTTTTTTTTTTTGAAATTAATAACTCGTACTGTTTGTTATCGAAGAAAAATAAAATTCATAAAATTTTTTTTTAATAAAAAAAACTTAAATTATCTATTGTATTATTGTTTAAAAAAGATGCTTATTTAATAAATTGAAAAAAAAAAAAGGGAAAAATAAATCTGATAAATTATGCATAACTTTTTTTTTTTTTTTTTTTTTTGCATATTTGTATAATTTATAATTTTGAAATAATAAAATTATTGAAATTATAAAAGTGTTATGAATTGAATGCTTTTATCAGTGTGTTTTTTTTCGTTTTCCATCCTTTTTTTTTTTGTTATATTTGAATTTCATGTAAAATTTAGCAAATGCATCAATTTGAGAAGCCAAAACGACTTCAACAGATCATTTTACCACCTTATATCAATCGTGGACAGCAAAGAATTATTCGTGAAAAACAAAAAAATATTTCATCAGTACCATTTTTAGATGTGGAACTTTGTTATTGGTATAAAGTTGGATGTAAAGTTAATATTTTTTAATTTTTTTTTTTATCTCTTTTTGAAATAATTTTCTTTTGGTATTTTTTTCTGAATTCCAATTTGTAAATTTTTGCAAAAAAAAAAAAAAACAAGAAAAGTTTGTTAATTTTTAAATGATAAAGAAACTAATCTTATAAAAATTTTATTTTTCAATTAATTTTTTAATTAAAATATTTTCGAAATCTTTGATTAAATATAAATTTTTTTTTATAGTACTTTTATAATTTAAAAAGATCGTTTTTTTTTTTTTTTTTCCATAATTAATTTATTATACGCTAGGTATAGTAAATATTATTGATAAAATTGAGTTTGAAATTTAATTTTAGAAAAATCTTATCGATTTGACTTTTTAAATCAAAAATTAAGATTAAAACTTAATTAAATCATAAGTTTAAAAAAAGACGAAAAATTATTTAGCTTATTACGTTTGATATTTCAGCAACGTGGTATACATAGTCGACCTTACACGTACGCTGTGATCACGTTAGAATCATTGCTAATTTTAATTGTTTTCTTACTTCTTGCAATAATCCTTCAATCAATAAATGCTTCACCTGATGCACCAATTAATGCATTCATTACGCAGCGTAATTATTTTTTACGAATACAAAATTCGGTTTGTTAATATTTTCTTTTTTCTTTTTATTATATATAAATTGTATTTCCTTTTTTTTTTTTTAGTAATAATATTCAAATTATCTTTTCTTTTTCATTAAAAAATTTAAATATTTTATTATTTATTGGATGTAATTTTTGTTTTAATGATTAAAAGTAATTAAAATCATTAAGCAAAATATTTTTGTTTATTATTATTAAATTTAAAAAAATCAACTTTTATTAAATATTTCTTTTATTTTCAATAGTTAAAAATTGATCAAAGTAAGCTGATGTAATACGCTCATTTGGTACAACTAATTAGTGCTAATTATTACTAATTTAAAGTATTAAAAAAATTTCAAATATTCCCAAAAGTGATTTTATGTCGCAGTTATCTGTAAGACTTCTCATAGATCTTTAAAAATTTAATGCTTTTACTTTTTTTTTTTCTTCTTTTGTACACTCAATAGTTAACAAGATAGAATGCGGAATAAATAATTAAAATGGATGTATTTAAATTACTTTATATTAGCGTTTAAAACAGACACATAAATTTATGTGTAATATGAAGTAATCAAACTGATGAATGAATTTAAATTGATGAAATTTTAATATAGTTGGAAATAAATGTGAATAAATTAATGCGAACGATGTAATAATCAGATATATAATGATTTTTTTTTTTTTTTTGTATTGTATTCTAAAATGGATAATAATAATAACATTAATAATAAATGATAACAATAATAGTAGTAGCAATAATAATAACAAGCAATGCATAATAATAATAATGACAATAATAGTAATAACAACGGTAGGAAAATAATAGTATTAATGATAAATAACAACAAAAATGATAATAATATGAATGACAATATTAATATTGACAATGATAGCAATAGCAATAATAGTGACAACATTTATATTAACAATGACAATAATATGAATGACAATATTAATATTGATAATGATAGCAATAGCAATAATAGTGACAACATTTATATTAACAATGACAATAATATGAATGACAATATTAATATTGACAATGATAGCAATAGCAATAATAGTGACAACATTTATATTAACAATGATAATAATATGAATGACAATATTAATATTGACAATGATAGCAATAGCAATAATAGTGACAACATTTATATTAAAAATGATAATAATATGAATGACAATATTAATATTGACAATGGTAGCAATAGCAATAATAGTGACAACATTTATATTAAAAATGATAATAATATGAATGACAATATTAATATTGATAATGATAGCAATAGCAATAATAGTGACAACATTTATATTAACAATGATAATAATATTAATAAAATAAAAATAATTGATAAATTTTCAGATTGCAACAAAACGACTAGTACGATCGATTGATGAGTATTTTTACAAACAATATCGATATCTTATAAATGGAACCATTCCAATTTCACCATCTTTAATAATGATTGCTATGGCAGCGATTATGATTTTAACTGGACCAGAAGAAAAGTACTAGTATTTATCAAATTTTTTAAATTAAAAAAAATTTAACAATCAAACAATTATAAACGAATAATATTTCGATTTAAAATTTTATATTATTTCTTCAAAATTTTCATCAATCCTATGACAACATATATTTAACAGTTATTATTTCTTATCACATTCTTAAATGAAAAAAAAATTTTTTTCAATATATCATAAGTTAGAAGTACCAGTTTTTTTCCTATTTTTTAAAGGTATAAACGATATATTATGTGTTTTTTGCATTTAATAATACTTCTCATATCAATAATATTTATTTTTCCTTCTTTACTTCAAAGCCAATTTCAAGTTCGAATTGTAAGTTGTAATTGTATTATAATAAGTAATGATAATAATAATAATAATAGATTAATAAACAAAATAAAAATACATCAGAAGATCAACTACCAGTAAACTAATTTTCTCGTTAAAGTATTCCATTTGCATTTTTTATTTTCATTTTTTGCTCTTTCTCACTTTTTTTCTGGCTAGATGGTTTTGTTTTATTTTACTTCAGTTTACATCAAATAATTTTATAATGACTGATGATTTCTTAAATGCATGGATTGTAATAGCATCGTATGAAGCTGAAAAAATTGCACAAAATGGAATACAACTCATTTCATTACTTGAGGTACTAAAAAAAAAAAAAATTTTTTATTCATTTTATTATTTGAGATATAAGAAAAAATTTAGAAAAATTACGTTTTTTTCTTTTTTTGCAGGATTTTTTTCTATTCGTTTTCATAAATAATTTTCGGCAATAATTTTTATTAAATAAATTTCACAAAACAAGCAAGAAATTTTGCTTTAGATTTGCAAAATTATACAAATAAGAGGCAATTGTTTTAAATTTAATTTTCTGAGAATTTTTTTTTTTTTTTTTTTTTGCATTTTTCTTTTTTGAAATTCATACGTGGCTCTTGTATAATCTTCATTTAATTATTTATTAGTAATTGAAAATTAGTGGATGTAAAAATAATGTTAAAAATTGAAATATTTTTAAATAAGAAATAAGTCACTCTGAATAAAAATGAAATTAAAATTTCCAATCTATTCCTTTTTTTTAGCAGATTATTTATCTATAAAATACAACAAAAAATTTGGCAAAATGATTTTTAAAATTTTCAGAAAGATATTAAAAACTTTATCTCCATTTTTTTGATAAAAAAAAAATTAAAAAAGTTTTGGAATTTTGGGAAAAATATAATTGTTGCGTGGTAAATCGTAATGCATTATTTTGGCAACAATTCCCAAAACATTTAATCCTACCATATATTTATTCCTTAAATTTTACCGAACGAAGCATCCAGCATTATATAAATGAAAAATGGTATTTGATTTTTTGTTTTATATTCATTAATATGAATCAAATTAAGATTATTAAATTTAAAATAAAATGGAATGAATTAACTTGATATAAGATGAGTCATTTATAATTAGCGTTTGAAATTTCAAAATGAAATTAAGGATTTTGAAAGTTTCAAATAAGTCAAAAAAGAAACAGAAAAACACAAAGACAATAGGAGAAATTCTAATCAAATTAATTGACAACAATTTAAAATTAACAAATTGTTTATAGTAACACCTATATGCATATTCAGAAATATATTTCTACTAACCAATTGATTATCAGCAATAATTGCCATATCAATGTTTAAATAATTCTTTATAAGATGAAATTACAATATTTTTTACTATTACTTTAATATTTCGATTGAATTTCAATAATTTCAAATAATTTTATTTCAGGGATCATTGTAGAAATCGCTTGGCATCAATAGCATCAGATAGCATAATGCAATGTAACACATTGGTATGATAATGATTGTTTTATAAGTTTTTTTTTTTTTTTTTTTTTGTAATTATAGTTTATTTTTTATTCATCTCGTCCAATTCTGCTATTACTTGTTTATTTAATTGTTAATTAATATAGGTATTTATTCATTTAGTTACCTTTTTGTTTAAATTATGTTGGTTCACTTTTTTCTCTTCTTTTCTACTGATAATTTCAATTATATAATGTTACATAAATTTTTTCTCTATAAGAAATTCATTCATACAACCTCAGTTTTTGCTTAAATTGGAAACAATAAAATAAATGTGTTAATTTTAAATACAAAGCTTGTTATTAATTGACAAAATTTAAAAAAAAAATGAGTTGTATATTTTAGTTTTTTCTTTTCTTTTAATAAAGTTTTTATGAAGTAAAAATATAAGTATAAAGTAAAAATAAATTTAATAAAGTAAAAAAGTCTAAAATTTAATGAAGTAAATAAAATTACAGATGCCACGTATGAAAAATGATTTAAAATCAATACATCTATGTTACATAATAATAATTATTATTAGTATATTATTATGCATCCTTCTTGCAATTTCAAATCTCAGTAAATGGATTCTGGAAGGTATCAACGAAAAGCAATATATTGAGGAAATGAAAGTTGGAAAAGCAAATTTGGAAAAACGTACTAAAATTTTTGAACAAGCAAAAGATGAAAAATAAAAATTTCATAAAAAAAAGCAAGAAATTTTATATCTTTCGTTTGTTAGTCAAAAAAAAAAAAATGTTTTCTGTTTTTTTTTTTTTTCTATTCTAAAAGTGTATTATAATAAAAATTTAAAGAATTTTTTATGCTTAGTATATGCAAATTTTTTTTGCAAATAACATGAAAAACAATTCTTTTATGGTTAATTATGGAAAGTTGAAGTAAGAAGAAAGAGGAAAAAAGAATTTAGTTAAAGAATGTCTTCATTTTTTGTTTTTTTTGTTTTGAAATATTTTCACTTTTTAAAATGCAACATTACATTTAAATAAGAAAAACGAATACTGAAATCAATAGAAAGGAAGAAATGATATGATAAATAATTGCATATAGAATAGTAACAGTGTAAAAAATTAATTGAAAAATTTGTTGCCAATTAAAAATCATTATTGCGAATTATGAGCAAATAATTTTGTTTGGAAAGGATAATTTTTAAATACCATGACAATCTGCAAGCATTTCTCCTTAAATTGTTCTAAAGTAAAATTTCAACAACATTTAATAAGATTGAATAATTTGAAAAAAAATTGAATAGTTCGTTATTCGTTGCTGAAATTATGCAAGGGAAAAATGTCAGTGAAATGTTATGAAAGTATTTTTGAATTGTTATCACTGTCAAATGCTTTATTCAATCGTATTATTTAAATTTTCGATAGAAAAAAACGAAAAAAAAAAAATTATTCAATAATTTTGAAACCGATCAATAATTCCAGAAATGGTATCCTGAATAAAACTTGACAATAACTCTAATATTTCACGCAAACCAAATTGAAGCATATTCCTTAGCTCCCTATATCGAAATCGTTGTTTCGTTGGTATTCTCTTCTTGGGTATCTAAACATACATATTTTAAAAAAATTAAATGCATACTCAGCAGTGGTTAAAAAAAATGTATTCATAGGATTGAATTATGTGTAAATTATATGCCCTACTATCGGGAAAATTATTGAATACTTTAATCTAAAAATCTAAAGGAATTATTTTCGCAAGGAATAATATTTTCGAATAGATTATCTGAAAGAAATCATAAAAAGCAATGTTAACCATCCATATTATCTCAAAATTAATTTATATTATCATGTGACAGATAATACAATAAAACATTTTCCATTTACATAAACATTGGAAGATGTTCTTGGCAAATTACTACAGTTGTCTTTCAGTGATTCAATTCAATTCAATGCGATTTCATATTCGGTTCAATAAAATTATGAATAAACTAATAACTAAAATGTATTACATTATCACCCGAATCGAAGTCACCAAATGAAGGCCTTTCTCCCAGAACGAATGACGATAAAACCCCCTGGAAGAAACGATTTGTTAATTCATATTACTGTTAAAATTCATATTACATCAGAATCACTAGCATTTTTGATAGAGTTCAGATAACATGATCAGGTAATTCACGTAGTTACAAACCATTTTCTAAACTATAACGGTTATAATTTATAATTACGGTTCTATGAAATATCGTTAAATAGACCAACCTCTGTTGTAGGCTTATTGTCATCGCGCGAAAAACTTCCGTCCGGAATAGATGCAGGAGAGCTGCTCTAAAAAAATCATTTGAAATTGTTTTAACATTTATTTCACATCAGAATCACTAGTATATTTTTTACAGTTAAGAAAAGGTAACACTATCAGGTGATTCACGTAGGATATCGTTTTCTAAAATTCCTAGTAACGGTTCTATGAAATTTCAAATCTCGTTAAATCGATCAGTAAGGTGATTATTGGGATACATTACCTCTACCTCTATTATAGGCTTATTGTCATCGTGTGAAGAACTTCCGTCCGGAACAGATGCAGGAAAGCTGCTCTGAAAGAAATCATTTGGAACAATGTTAACATTCACATTACATCAGAATCACTAGTATTTTTGATAGGGTTCAGGTAACAAGATCAGGTGAATAATTCATAATTGCGGTCTATGAAATTTCGTTAAATCGATCAACCTCTGTAGTAGGCTTATTGTCGTCGTGTGAAGAAATTCCGTCCGGAACAGATGCAGGAAAACTGCTCTGAAAAAAATCATTTGGAGCACTGTTAACATTCATATTACATCAGAATCACTAGTATTTTTGATAGGGTTCAGGTAACATGATCAGGTGAATAATTCACAATTGCGGTCTATGAAATTTCGTTAAATCGATCAACCTCTATTGTAGGCTTGTTGTCATCGTGTGAAGAAATTCCGTCCGGAACAGATGCAGGAAAACTGCTCTGAAAAAAATCATTTCGAGCAGTGTTAACATTCACATTACATCAGAATCACTAGTATTTTTGATAGGGTTCAGGTAACATGATCAGGTGAATAATTCATAATTGCGGTCTATGAAATTTCGTCAAACTGATCAACCTCTGTAGTAGGCTTATTGTCGTCGTGTGAAGAACTTCCGTCCGGAACAGATGCAGGAAAACTGCTCTGAAAAAAATTATTTGAAATTGTGTTAACATTCATATTATATCAGAATCACTAGTATTTTTAGTTAGAAACAGGTGACATTATCAGGTGATTCACGTAGGATATCGTTTTCTAAAATTCCTAGTAACGGTTCTATGAAATTTCAAATCTCGTTAAATCGGTCAATAAAGTAATTGCTGCGGTACATTGCCTCTACCTCTGTTGTATGTTTATCGTTGTCGTGCGAAGAAATTCCGTCCGTAACAGATGCAGGAAAACTGCTCTGAAAAAAATTATTTGAAATTGTGTTAACATTCATATTATATCAGAATCACTAGTATTTTTGATAGGGTTCAGGTAACATGATCAGGTGAATAATTCATAATTGCGGTCTATGAAATTTCGTCAAACTGATCAACCTCTGTAGTAGGCTTATTGTCGTCGTGTGAAGAAATTCCGTCCGGAACAGATGCAGGAAAACTGCTCTGAAAAAAATCATTTCGAGCAGTGTTAACATTCACATTACATCAGAATCACTAGTATTTTTGATAGGGTTCAGGTAACATGATCAGGTGAATAATTCATAATTGCGGTCTATGAAATTTCGTCAAACTGATCAACCTCTGTAGTAGGCTTATTGTCATCGTGTGAAGAACTTCCGTCCGGAACAGATGCAGGAGAGCTGCTCTGAAAAAAAAATCATTTGAAATTGTTTTAACATTCATATTACATCAGAATCACTAGTATTTTTAGTTAGAAACAGGTAACACTATCAGGTGATTCACGTAGGATATCGTTTTCTAAAATTCCTAGTAACGGTTCTATGAAATTTCAAATCTCGTTAAATCGGTCAATAAAGTAATTGCTGCGGTACATTGCCTCTACCTCTGTTGTATGTTTATCGTTGTCGTGCGAAGAACTTCCGTCCGGAACAGATGCAGGAGAGCTGTTCTGAAAAAAATTATTTGAAATTGTGTTAACATTCATATTATATCAGAATTACTAGTATTTTCAATACAGTTCAGGTAACATGATTAGGTGATTCACGTAAAGTATCGTTTTTTAAATTATAGCGGTTATAATTCAACATTACGGTTCTGTTAAATTTCAAATCTCATTGAACCGATGAATAAAGTAGTCACTTAGGTATATTACCTTAACTGTAGACTTGTTATCATCGTGCGGAGAAGTTCCGTCCGGAATAGATGCAGGAGAACTACTCTGCAAGAAATCATTTGAAACAGTATTAATATTACATCTCGTTTATTGCATCAGAATTATCTGTATTAAGAAATTGATGGATAGGTGATATGATTAGAAGATGTCGTTTTTCAAATTTTAAAGATTATATAGCATTTCTAAGTGAAATTTCACATCTATTTAAATCTGTTATTAAAGCAATTATTGAAGTGTATTCGTCATTGGAATAAGAGTTAAATTTTGATGGTGAAAAGCTGAATTTGTTATTACACACACAATAAGTAAGCTTTTCCTTTTGTCGTAAAGTGGAGATAATAGCTAATCCGTAAAATCATATGACGCAATTCTCATCTGTATTATAGCAGAATATTTGTATAATAAATTTATAATTTGTGTTATATTTTTATAATAGTAATTTCTTTATTAGCGCAAGAAGTATGATTTCATTGGGTGAAATGTAATGTTTGTCTGATAGTTAAATTGTTTAAATATAAATGCAAGTTAAAACTTACCGAAATTTGATTATCTGCTAATAGTATCGTGAAGCAAAATTGAAGCAATGCAAAAGTCATCCACCAGTACATCGTTTGATATGTCATCTTAAAGCCGAAAGTGATTTCTTTTTTTCAGTCTTGTCTTATTTGCATAAATTAGATAAAAATAATTTCATCATAATTGCATTAGCAGTTAATGAATGTCTAAATGGAATAAAAGAATGATTTCATATTAATACTTATTTTTTGTCAAATAGGTAGAATGAATGAAAATAAAATGGTGCTTACATTATATTGTAGATAAGCGTGTTAAACCATCCAAAAATATATTAAAAGAAATTTTATTTATAAATGTATATATTTTATTTATAAATATATACGTATATATGATACAAGAATTAAAAAATTGTGTGCGGAAAAATTCAAAAAGATAAAATTCGATATGATAATTAAATTGGTTTTTTTATGATACTATATTTTATTGAGATTTTGATATATGGGAAAATTTTTCGCACGAAATTTGAAGATGATTTACAATGGCAGCATTTAATACATATATATTGCATTATTTTTTCATTAAATGATTTAATTTCAAATTTGAATTTTTATCAAAAATAATTCCTATGCAAGAAAGGAATGAAAGTAGAACATAGTAATTTGCCATTGTGTAATATATATTAATTAATCATATGTTATTATTGAAAAAATAATACTGCCGTGATCACGAAAAAGTGATTGCTCATGTGATATCATATCATTTAAATATCATTTAAATTTTGTCATTTTTTTTGTCATATCATTTAAATTTTGATATCTAGTGAATATTTGTTATGAAGTATTATATATGTATTATTACTTTTCTTTTTTATCATATCATTAACTTAGTGATGGTAATCGTTAAACAGTTCGTTTGCATCACATAATTCATTTTATCAGAATGATAATAGGAAGGATAATTATGCCATACTACAATTTTAATATTTAAAATAATTTTATTTAATGTTTAACTCAGGCATATCGAATAATATAGTGTGATAAAGTTCATTGATAAGATATGCTGATTTATTATGTTATTAGTTTTCAGCTTGCCTAAATATAAATATATATTTATTTATTTATTTATTCAATTGTCTATTTAAATTTTAATTTACTCCATGAATTACTCCATTTCGCATTTGTTCATTTGTGTTCTGTGATTATTGCAAAAAGAATTGTTCACTTGCTTCTTTACTGAAAAATTTTCATCATTTTGAATACTTATTTTGATATTTCAGCAACTACTTATTGACTCATTTCTACTCGCTTACTTTACTGTATAACTTATATTACCTGTATAACCGTAATAATTCAGTATCTCATTGTATAAGTTATGTTCACTTTCTTTTTTTGCTAAAAATTGCAATTACGGATTTTACAAACATTAGAGTACATTTTAATAATAGTATTTCAAAAAAAAAAAATTATCGTCTTTTTCTCTAAAAGCAATTTTTCTAGATGTAGAATTTTAGGTATAACATTTAGCTCTTTTTAGAATTGCAAAAATTCTTAGATTTAAAAATTTTTTAAAATAAAGAAAGTGAATGATAAATTTATGGATGATAATTTAGGAATAATGTCATGTAGTAATCTATATTATAGTAGCTATCATTATCACCAGTTTTTATTATGCAGTTTTTTGCAGTTTTCATTTTTCAATTTAACAAACGATTTCTGAAATGTGTCAATGATAAGTGACATTTTTGAAGATATGAAATGGGCAATAACATTTCATAAACAATTGCAGCACACTTAAAAATATGGCTAAGCAAATGATTGACAATAAAAATTTTCATGCAAAAGGCAATTTTATATCTTTTGCAATAATACCTGGCAAACAAAAACAGTTCTTTTATGGTCAATAATTGTTGACATTTGAAATAAAACAAAAAATTGAATTTCATTAAAGGGAAAGTCTTTTTTATTTAAAATATTGATGAAAATAATTTAAATAATTAATTCAGAGGTCGAAGGTCATTTCTTTGATTAACATGAGATGAAATTGATAAGAAAGGAAGAAGAGTTTGAGAACAGAGAATTTGATGCTCTTTAAAATTTATTTTATTAAATTTCAAAATTATTTCCAAATTATTCTTTCAACAATGATTTTTTGTTATAAAGAGATAAATTATGAAAAATAAAAAAAACTAATTTTCTGACATTTCTTCCATTAGCTAACAGTAACGATTTCTTCGATCAATGCAAAATAAAAATAATTGACATAAATCTATAATGAGTGCTATATATTTTTTATTTTTTGATTACTCACAATTACAAAAAATTTTTATTCTTCATTTCTTATTTTAGAATATATTGTTTTTAATTTTAATTTTAAAGTGATAATTTCAAATCCTCAAATTCTTGCATCAGATTTTGTAATTTTTTTGTCACAAAACAAAAATTTTATTAGAGAATTTTTTTTGTTTTGAATTTTATTAGAGAATTTTTTTTTCGTTTGTTTGTTTTTTGTTTTTTTTTTTTTTTTTTTTTTTTTTTTGTTTTAAAAAAAATACTTAAATCAGTAAAAAGGAAGAATTGATATGATAAATAATTGCATATTGAATAGTAACAGTGCGAAAAATTAATCAAAAAATTTATTGTCAATCAACAATTATTTTGTTAAATTTGAAAATAAATTTCGAATTATAAGTAAATAACTTTATTTAGGAAAATTATTTCCAGGATGTTTTTTTGAATAAAAATAATTTGCTATTATTTTAATGGACTTAGAAAGGATTTTTCAAATAAAAAATAATTTGCTATTATTTTAAAGTAAAATTTGAACAATATGAAGTGAAAATTATATAAAGGAAAATGTTAAATCATTAAATTGTTGTTACTCTCAAATGCTTTATTCAATTGTATCATTTAAAAAGTCGATAGAGAAAATTAAAAAAGTCGAATTAATCATTATTTTCGAAGGTTATCGATAATCCCAGAAACAGCACTTCCAACAACGCTTGCCAATAAACCAAATTTTCCTCGTGGACGAAATCGAAACCTAGATCGATTTCCAAGTCTAACTCGTTGTTTCGTTGGTAGTCTTTTTCTGGGTACCTAAAATAAACATACAAATTCTAATGAAAATAAATGTAAGTGGAAAATGATTTATTGTAGCTAGCTAAAGTATTCTTTGAAATTTGAAATAAATAAAAAGTGCTCTGTTGTGGTCAAAAAAGTATTCATAAGATTGAATTATATGATTTGTCATCTAAAAAGAATTCTCGTGTAATCTTAAATGTCATACTACAAAAAAATTATTAAATACCTTAATCTAAAAAACTAAAATAATTGTTTTTGCAAAGAATATTGAATAAATTATTTGAGAGAAATCATTTAAAGCAATATTAACCATTCATATTATGTCAAAATTAATTTATATTATTATGAGACACAAGAAAGCATTTTTCGTTTACTTAATCAATGCAAGATGTTCTTTTCCTAAATTATTATAGTTATATGTCAATGATTCAATGATACAATTCAATGCAATTTCATATCTGTTATGAATAAAATACAATCACTGAAATGTATTACTTTAGCTGCGGAACCGATTTTAGATGATGGTTTTTGTTCCAAAACAAATGACGGTGAATTCTTCTAAAAAAAAAAAAAAAAATCATTTGGAATAATGTTATTAAATATTCATATTAAATCAAAATTACTTGTATTACTTATAACGGTTGTCTTTTCAATTCCACAGTTCCATGAATTGAATCTGTCATTATGGATAGTCTAATCACTGAGATATATTACCTTAAATGTAAGTTGGTTATCATCGTGCAAAGAATTTCTGTCCCGAATAGATGCTGGAAAGTTGTTCTGAAAAAAAAAAATCACTTGAAATAATGTTAATCTTCGTATTACATTAGAACTGCTTGCACTCTCAACAATTTGACTGTTGTAAACTATTTATGATGATAGATTTATTCATGCTTGTTGCAAATGAGTTGGTGGTTGAATTAAGTTGCAAACGACACAATAGAATGACATTAGAGTTGCCTACCAGGTGTTACAATTAATATGTTATCTTTACAATTTACAAGATAGGGACTTTTCAAATGACTGTCACCAAATTTCTTGATCTAAGGTTAGAGTGAATAGTTGATGTGTTCAAGGTTAAGAGATTATTTCAGAGAGAATTCTTGTACTCTTTTTTGAAACATATCTATTGTTGGCAGTTAGTAGTGAATTCATTGCTGAGTGAACTTTTCTAAGAAGACAATTTTTCATTCTAAAAAACTTAACTTATTCAACAGTAATAGCTTCTGCTTATTGGAGAATGGTAATGTTGATTACGCTTACTGTAATAGATATTTTGGATAAGGTGAGAGGAAGGCTAACGGAACCATTCAACGAGTTACAGGTAATAGCAGTATGATTTAGATGAGTGGACAATGCACAGTTCTATAGGCACTAATTCTGGTATTTTTATACAGGTATTATTATTTCATTCTTTTTTTAATAGAGTATCCCAAATGTTTTAGATGCATTTTCTGTTAACAATCTTTTTGTCGATCTTGACGATTGAGAAAATGATACTTCCTGAATATGCAAATTGCTGGGTTAATTTAAGCTTAGATAAATCTACAAGATGACATGAGACTGACAGTAATCTAGTCATGGTGGTCGTTAGTACAGAACCTTTGTTTTCAAATTGATGTCCAGTCTGAAAATCTCTATAATTTTTGCGAAGCAGGTAGTTATACGTTACAAGGGCGCTTTTTTATGGGTAACATGGGCGGAAGAGTTGCTCTTGGACAAAATGGCGTAGAAGGGTTCCCGTCGGTACGATATCGAATGTAAATACCGTTCCCTTTATCGAAGTATACTGTAAGTCCTTGAAGCATTTTGAAGAATGATATGAAGGGCTGCTACGAGCATGCAATTGTTTCGCATCACCGATTATCCGGATATGATCATTTAGAAACTTGAAAGAGGTATCCTAATCATTCAAAGATTAGCCATAAACCCTCTCACACTGCTTACGATGTGAAATGGTTTGGTTAGGTCAACAAAGGTCATAGTTACAAATCTTTCGTTTTGTAGTGTCACATTATTTCCAGAACAGATGTCATGTTTGTGATGTTTTTATTAGTTACAAAAACCATATTAGCTCTTAGGTAGAAGTATTGTGGACAATAACGGTCATTAGTGTTGCAAAATCTTGCAGTTGTAGAAAGCATCGAGTAAACATAGTTTAATATTTTGCGTAAACAATTGGACTTCTCTCCTTTCCTGCTACACAGATTGTATCCCAGCGAATAATTCCACAATAATCTCGTGAAATTTAGCTTGAAATGCTTGGCTTCCACGCTTCCAGATTTTGGATGATATTCTATCAAGCCCAGAGACTTTGCTAGATTTTATCAGTTATAGTCCTGGGAGTTAAGTCCAGTTTAATTTTCGTTGGTTGTTGAATAATATTTTGTTCCTTTACCTGAACAGTGGACACTGAAGAGAAATTGAAATTGTTCAGACTATTAGTAGAGAAAGAAGGACTTTGTGTGAGAAGAGAATAGCCATTTGAGGTGATAAGAGAGTTGTGATAAATTGGTCTGTGCAAAACTTTGTAGAATCCTTTAGGATCGCTCGAGTCTGTTTCTAATTGAATCTTTTATGCTAGATTGATCCATCACTTTTTTTTTTTTTGAATGTGCCGAAGTTTTTGTTGGAACTTACTGCGTGCAAGATGAAAAACTGTTTCTCGTTCAAGACAGAATAGCTTAGTGTACATCCTTGATAAGCATTTATCTTCTTACATCGATCTTCCTGAATTTGTAGATGAGAATTCTAAGCATTCTAGGGAGCTATTTTTTGATGAAATGTCGAAATGTTGTTGGAGAGGTATCTGTAAATCTGGTTTAAATGATAGATCTGGAAGTTATCCCTTTTTGTAGTAATTTCAAAATCGCTGACTTCGAATTTCTTCCTTGGAATGTCATCAAAATCAGCTTAATGAGCTGGTATTTGTTCTAGAAAAGATCCAATATGTTGCTTATTGTGTACTTTTGAAATGATAATTTGATCGGAATGACCTCTCAGCAAGTCAATAGCAGCTTTGATCATGAAATCAATTTCTGAATAGGAACGTTTTCGAATTTATTTGATCGGAAAAGTATGTAGCTGGTACATATTTTTTGAGTCTACCTTCTTCCTGAATTTCGTAGTAAAGTATGATGTTAATTCATGATAGTTCGAAGGTAATTGTGGTAGATTGACATTTGACTATTCGAAGTATGAATCAGTCTGAGCATAGCTTTGGCTTTTGTTTTTTTGTCTTGGTTCGAACATAACAGAAAATTCCCATTTAACTTTGATCGGATAACCGGATAGAACATGAAGATGAGCTTTGTTAAGTCAGATCTCTGATAGATCTAGTAAAACGATCATTCAGGATGCTACTGAAACAAAAATTTCTGAGCCATTCTTGAATAACCAAACTCCTGAATGCATCCGGAATCTTTCGTGCACGGTTAAGCTATCTTCTCTTCTAGAACACTCTGTCGTAACATTTGTCTTTCATTTATTGCTGAAAATTTCTGTGGAACTGTATTTTTCTTTGAGCCTACACAAAATCTTTTTAAATGAAGGAAAGCGTGTCATCCTTTGCACCTAAAGTGCATCTATCAGGAAAATAGTCGCATCCTTTGCACCTGAAGTGCATCTATCAGTAAAGTAGTCTCATCCTTTGCACCTGAAGTGCATCTATCAGTAAAGTAGTCTCATCCTTTGCACCTGAAGTGCATCTATCAGTAAAGTAGTCTCATCCTTTGCACCTAAAGTGCATCTATCAGGAAAATAGTCGCATCCTTTGCACCTGAAGTGCATCTATCAGTAAAGTAGTCTCATCCTTTGCACCTGAAGTGCATCTATCAGGAAAGTAGTCTCATACTTTGCACTTGAAGTGCATCTATCACAAAAATGGTCTCATTCTTTGCACCTGAAGTATAACTATCAAAGAAAAGGTCTTGCACTTTACACCTGAAATTATTCTTTCATACGTAACAAATCTGGATGATGATAGCGAAATTTCCAGGTCGTAGATCTGTTTGGAACATTCTTCTCGTAGACGGATAACTTTTTAGTAGAGGTTTCTCAACCATCTGTTCAAATTAGAAATTGCAGTTGTCATTCCCAGGATAGTTTTTCTAAAGCTAATAACATAAGAGTAGTCTGACTTATGATCTTACCGGATACTATTACCAGCGTAGTGCGTAACGTAACTTCAAAAAGCTTTTCCGCTAGGTATGATTTCCTCATTCATTATGATTACATTTCAAAGATACAGTTTTACATAATTTTATTACCCATAGAGTAGGCATTAAATGTATATTACCTTGACTGGAAGATCGACTTTCTCATACGAAAGCAATCTTCCTGGATTGGATAAAGCGATAGCACTAGAATGTATTGCTTTGGCTACAAGACCGTCTTTTTCATACCGAAGTAATTTTTCTCGAGTGGATGAGGTGACACTCTGAAACATTCATATTAGGAGACATTGCTAACGTCCGTGTTATATTAAGATTACACGTAGTATTAAGAGATTAAAGAACAGGCAACATGATTAAGTGATTCATCCATGTAAAATATCTAAATTATAACGGTTATATTTCAAATTGTGGTTCTATGAAATTTCAAATCTCGTTGAAAATTCAAATATCATTAAAGTTGGTTTTTGGAATGAATTACTTTAACTGTAGACTTGTTATCATCGTGCGGAGAAGTTCCATCCGGAATAGATGCAGGAGAACTACTCTGCAAAAAATCATTTGAAACAGTATTAATATTACATCTCGTTTATTGCATCAGAATTATCTGTATTAAGAAATTGAAGGATAGGTGATATGATTAGAAGATATCGTTTTTCAAATTTTAAAGATTATAGCATTTCTAAGTGAAATTTCACATCTATTTAAATCTGTTATTAAAGCAATTATTGAAGTGTATTCGTCATTGAAATAAGAGTTAAATTTTGGATGATGAAAAGCTGAATTTGTTATTACACACACAATAAGTAAGCTTTTCCTTTTGTCGTAAAGTGGAGATAATAGCTAATCCGTAAAATCATATGACGCAATTCTCATCTGTATTATAGCAGAATATTTGTATAATAAATTTATAATTTGTGTTATATTTTTATAATAGTAATTTCTTTATTAACGCAAAAAGTATGATTTCATTGGGTGAAATGTAATGTTTGTCTGATAGTTAAATTTAAATTAAAATAAACCGAAATACGATCATCTGCTAGTAGTATCGTGAAGCAAAATTGAAGTATTACAAAAGTCATCCACCAATATAACATTTGATATGTCATTTTAAAGCTGAAAACAAAATTTTTTTATTTATAAAAAGTTACAACTGAAAAGAATAATTCCATTAGTAATTAATAAAAGTGTAAATACCATAAAAAAAAATAAATAATACTTAACTTTAAGTAGAATGAATGAAAATAAAATGGAACTTACATTATATAATAAATAACCTTTTCAAATCATTCACTAAATATGACAAAATAAATTTTTTCTATACATACATATACATATATTTATATATGATATAAAAATTAAAAAATTGTGTGCGGAAAAATTCAGAAAGATAAAATTCGATATGATAATTAAATTGGTTTTTTTATGATACTATATTTTATTGAGATTTTGATATATGGGAAAATTTTTCGCACGAAATTTGAAGATGATTTACAATGGCAGCATTTAATACATATATATTGCATTATTTTTTCATTAAATGATTTAATTTCAAATTTGAATTTTTATCAAAAATAATTCCTATGCAAGAAAGGAATGAAAGTAGAACATAGTAATTTGCCATTGTGTAATATATATTAATTAATCATATGTTATTATTGAAAAAATAATACTGCTGTGATCACGAAAAAGTGATTGCTCATGTGATATCATATCATTTAAATATCATTTAAATTTTGTCATTTTTTTTGTCATATCATTTAAATTTTGATATCTAGTGAATATTTGTTATGAAGTATTATATATGTATTATTACTTTTCTTTTTTATCATATCATTAACTTAGTGATGGTAATCGTTAAACAGTTCGTTTGCATCACATAATTCATTTTATCAGAATGATAATAGGAAGGATAATTATGCCATACTACAATTTTAATATTTAAAATAATTTTATTTAATGTTTAACTCAGGCATATCGAATAATATAGTGTGATAAAGTACATTGATAAGATATGCTGATTTATTATGTTATTAGTTTTCAGCTTGCCTAAATATAAATATATATTTATTTATTTATTCAATTGTCTATTTAAATTTTAATTTACTCCATGAATTACTCCATTTCGCATTTGTTCATTTGTGTTCTGTGATTATTGCAAAAAGAATTGTTCACTTGCTTCTTTACTGAAAAATTTTCATCATTTTGAATACTTATTTTGATATTTCAGCAACTACTTATTGACTCATTTCTACTCGCTTACTTTACTGTATAACTTATATTACCTGTATAACCGTAATAATTCAGTATCTCATTGTATAAGTTATGTTCACTTTCTTTTTTTGCTAAAAATTGCAATTACGGATTTTACAAACATTAGAGTACATTTTAATAATAGTATTTCAAAAAAAAAAAATTATCGTCTTTTTCTCTAAAAGCAATTTTTCTAGATGTAGAATTTTAGGTATAACATTTAGCTCTTTTTAGAATTGCAAAAATTCTTAGATTTAAAAATTTTTTAAAATAAAGAAAGTGAATGATAAATTTATGGATGATAATTTAAGAATAATGTCATGTAATCTATATTATAGTAGCTATCATTATCACTAGTTTTTATTATGCAGTTTTTTGCAGTTTTCATTTTTCAATTTAACAAACGATTTCTGAAATGTGTCAATGATAAGTGACATTTTTGAAGATATGAAATGGGCAATAACATTTCATAAACAATTGCAGCACACTTAAAAATATGGCTAAGCAAATGATTGACAATAAAAAAAAAAGTGTTTTATAATAAAAGTTCTAAAATTATTTTTTTATTGAATAGTCAAATTTTTTGCAAATAATACAAAAACAGTTTTTTTTGCAGACAATCAATACTGATATTTGAAGCAAAAGTGAAAGAAAAAAATTGAATTTCATTAAACAAAAACTTTTTTTTGTTCAAAATATTTTCATTGTTAAAAGATTACACAATAATTAATTTAGAAGATGAAAAAATAATTACTGAAATTGATAAGTAGGTTAGAGTGGTGTAATTAACTTCAAGAATTTGATGATATTTAAAAGTTATTTTATCATATTTCAGAGTTATTTTCAAATTACTATTTCAGTTATAAATTTTTCAGAGGAACATAAATTATGTAAAATTAGAAATTAATTTGTTGATATTTTCTTAAATTAGGTTTAAAATTAATTGCTGATTTCCTTTATTAGTCGAAAATAAAAGTACGCGATGCAATTCCACAAAGAGTGCTGTAAAATTTTTAATTTTTTACTACTTGTAATTAAAAGAATTTGCATTCTCTATTTCCTTTTTTAAATTATATAATTTTTATTAATTTTGAATCCCCAAATTATTGTATCAGATTTTTGGAACATATGAATATGCTAAAGTTATTTAAATTTTTACATATTCAATTTAATTTGCTCAAAAATATTTTGTTAAATCACATACAGAGTATCCAGCAGCTGATATTTAATTAAAATTTGATGAATTGCAATAAATTTATAGAAAGTATGAAAGAAATTAGTTTTTTTTCTCATTAATTAATCCTCCAATATGAGTATTTTACCGATTTCATATATATTTCAAGTAGAGAAATTTAAATTTCAAATTAAATTTTGATGACTTTCACAAGTTAGTGTAAGCAATAAAACAATAAAAAATTTTTAACATACCCATTTTGAGATATATTTAAATTATGCTTTTAATCAGATTACCTTTAAAGAGATCCACTCTTTGTTAATTTATTGCTACCTTCAAGGTAAAATAATCATATGTATATGATAGCATATCTAAAAAAAAAAAAACAAAAAAATATTTTGGAATATTTGAAATTGATGATTGCTTATTTTAATTATAGAATTTGAAATGAATTATTGTATGTCTGATTAAACTGAATTAAAATAATCAAAATGAACGATCGTTTATGTAAAAGATTCAAATAAATGATAAACATGAATGTATTTATAGACACATTTCTTTTTCAATCCATTGATCTACAATATAATTTCATCCAAATCTTAAATACAAATTCATAAATTTATAATACCTGATTTTTTGCATATGTTTTATTAATTTAATTAAAGTTTTTTAATCATTTTTTATTTTAGATTCTCATAAGAAACGCAATGTTGAATACTGCTAAAGATTTTTATATTATTTTATTATTATTTTCAATGTTATTTTTATTTATTATTATTATAATTTTGATCATTTACTTTTATTATTATAATTCAAATTAGGCTCATATCATTTGTTACTTTCTAATTATGTTTTTTTCATCATTCATATTTATTTTCATTGTTAGCCAAAAAAATATATTATCATTCTCAGTTTCATTTATTAAAAAAAATATTAACAAGTATTAAATTATAAAAAGAACGAATAGGTTTACTTATCAAACGATTACTTATCAAAGCATATCAAAAGAATGGAACAAAACTGATTAGTGATAATATTACTCATCAACAGATAATACTTAATCATATAAATACTGTATCATATATTTCAAATCCATCAAAAAAGTTTAACTTAAAAATTTATCATTCAATTTGTTCCAATCTTTTTTCTCATTTTATTATCCATTCATTTTGCTAGATAAGGATATTTGAATAATTGAATTGATAAAATTGTTTGATTAATAAGTAACCTTCAAATATTCTTCTCCCTCATTTCTTATTCTCACTTATTTCTCTCTCTCTCTCTCTCCCTCTCTTTCTTCTGTCAGATTTATTATCCATCTGATTACATTCCCTTTTATTTTTTCTGCTCATTTCGATTGATGTGTCCAAGCGGTAAACAATTTTTTGGCGGTTGCATCATTTGGCATATGCGTAAACAATGTATATTTTTTAATAGCTGCAAAAAAAAAGGAAAAAGAAAAAAGAGAAAAAAAGAAATGTAAATTAACAAAAAACAAAAACGAAATTACAGAAATAAAAGTTAGTAAATTTTTAAAATAGCACTTAATAATATAATAATATTAAAAAACCATAGGTAATATTTATAAAACATATATAATGGTTATCATTTATTAAAATGATAATTATCATTTATAAAATATCACTTGAAAATTTAATAATATTAAAAACCCATAGCTAATATTTATAAAACATATATAATGATTATCATTTATTAAAATAATTATTATCATTTATCATTTGTAAAATATCACTTGATAATATAATAATATAAAAAACCATAAGTAATATTTTATAACATATATAGTGATTATCATTTATTAAAATGATAATTATCATTTATAAAATATCAATTGAAAATTTAATAATATTAAAAACCATAGGTAATATTTATAACATATATAGTGATTATCATTTATCATTTGTAAAATATCATTTGAAAACATAATATTATTAAAAAGCAAAGGTAATATTTATTTAACATGTATAATGATGATAATTTATCAAAATGATAATCATAAAAGCATTATACAACATTTATCACAAAAGTTTTATGACATTTACTACAATAATTGATTTGTTTATTGCAAAAGTATGCTAAAAATGAGAATAATAAATGAAACTTTACATATTAAATTAATTTATTTGTTACTTAAATTTTGTAATAAATGCGTAAAATCACAAAAATACTAAATAAGAAAAGAAAGTGCAATGGAAATTAATTGCAAAATGAAAATTACTGCAATAATTGAAAAATAAATAAATAAATAATTTGAAAAATAAAAAATAAAATTATTGATAATATTAATAAGTCAAAAATTTATGATTGCAAAGAATCAAATTAAAATTTTAATTGGTTATTTTATTATAAGCAACGATTTAGTCAGAAAAAATACGGTTTATAAAGAAAAATGAACAAAAAAAATTGCACATATCGATGTTACATGAAAATGCAAATAATTCCGAAAGTAAAGTAACAAATTTAATTTAATCAAAACTTTTCTTTTAATTTCAACAAATTTTTTTTGGCATTAATGAATGTTTCGCATTCGTTGTTTAACTGAAAATATTATTAAACGATACATATTTTTGAATATTTTTTAAAAAAACCACAAATTTCATTATTTCATTATAGTTCTTTTTTTAATTGAATATAAATTAGCATAAAAGTTAAAAATGATAA